GGTGCAGGTAATGCTCCTAATGGATTTTATGAGCTTTCTGTGTTGCTTATTGGAGTAGTCAGAAAATCAGTATCTGGATGTGGGAGAGAAAATGTATCTCCATTCCCTAAAACATTATCTGTGTAGTTAAAATTAATGCAATTAATGTTTGGGATGTAATTTCAATAAATGCCCTGTAGGATGGAGGATTTGTAAGCAATTCTGATGGAGTGCCATGAAATGCACAACTTCGAAGCTTTGGTTGTGAGCTCTAAGCATGGAACATGCTCTGCTCTGAAAAGGTGGTAAACAAAGATCATGAATTTCTTCAGTCTTGAAAAGAAATTGAAAAGAAATGATTTATGAAGGATTGATAGTGGTCTACAGATTGTGATAAACACAAATGGGATCTGTAATCTGTACAAGACTTAGGGAGTGCAAGTAAAGCTGGTAAGAGCCGTATGTGAAGTAAAGGTAGGCAGCAGCTGTGGATATGGAGTACTTCTGCAGAAAGATGCTGTGAGAGATAAAAAATTGAAGAAAAGATTACGTGATTTGGTGAGAAAGAAATTTGTTGGAGGTTCTGTAAAATATGAAGAAACCATGTCCAGCTCAGGAAGTCCCTGGACTTGGGATAATATTGGATGGGAATTGTAGCAGGCTGATCTGACCACCAGTAACCATCTGTCTTCTGCATCTTTCTGAGCAAATTGATGGGTTTCAGAAGGAGCGTAGTGGTGAGTTTTCCTTTACATACTTTGCTCTTCTGTCACTTTGATGCATCATCATGTTTTCATCATCTGCAAAGCTGAGGTTTTTGTTTCCATAACTGTAACAATAACTGGAGTCACCTATCACAAGCAGCATGAGTTTGATTTTTTTTTTTTTAGCGGTTTTGTTTTCAAGCAACTTACTAGAAGTAATGTGGTTTAAGTAGGTGCATACATTGGAGAATTAAGGAAATTATGTTACTTGAAAGCCAGTACACAGAAACATTTGACGTGATTAAGGAAAACTGAAACTATGGTTCTCTTGAGTTTCTGGTTTCTATTAAAGGTATCTGAGCAGCAAATCTGAGCTGTGCCAGCACAGTTTAGGCAATGATCTGGCCTTGCATGTCACTTGCTGTGTTCTGAGCTACCGCTGCAGCAATTCTGGCAGCAAGATCAGTTGTGTTAAGTGGGAACGGCTGGAAGAGGAGAAGAAAGGCACTGATAAACTGCTTTGGGTAGAGCTGTTCTTTAATCTGCTCACAACTGGCACTGTGCTGACTACTGAAACAAGCACCGGCTGCAAGAAAAAAGTTGTACTGCTGACCTGTACTTGTTGAAGAACAGGGGAGTGACAGAGCCTGCCTTTGTGGAAATCCCTGAGGCAGCCCACACCTCAGTTTGGCACAGATGGTGCGTGTGTGCTGTGGTTAGATGAAGTGTCAGTGAGAGTTGTGGGAGCTCAAGGGTTTGCTTGGGAGGTTAGTGTTGAATTCAGGGGAATTCCTGAGCTGCCATGGGATGATTAGTAAACATGGCAAAAGTTTTTGATGGCAGAAATAAGAGTTTATCACTGTCTGTGTATGTTTTATTTAAATTTTAAACGCATCTTTTTTTTCATGCATCAAAATCTGACCCAGAGCTTATCATGCATGCTAGAAGCATTGTGTGCGTTGCTCCTGGAGAAGCAACCTCAATTCAGAGCTATGACTCAGAGATGTTTATCAGGACTCTCTTTTCAGGACTGTTATAATTCCTCAGGTTGTTTCAGCTTTTATTTTAGTAGTCATGATGCAATAGCAGCGCTTAGTTGAAGTTCCAGGAAAGGAAAGGAGTCTGGTTATTACAATTGCTTGTTGAAATGAAGGAATGGGGAGCCTAAGTTGCAAATTATAATAATTGATTCTGTAAATGAGCCAAGGGATAACAGGTGGGATACAGTCTGTTCTACATTCGCATTCTGATTTTCATGGAAATAAGTAGGAGGGGTTTCAGAGTGGAAGGGAAGGACAGATAATGTCTTCAGCTGCCAGTTCTTCCTTCTGCAAGCTAATTTTATGTTCTGCTCCAAGAAACACGAGCTGCGTTGTCTGTACTTCTGTATCTGACATGTTCCTGGTGAATCCTAAGTAAGAGAGAGCTGGAGTACTGGGGTAAGAGTTAATTCAGAGCTTTGGCTGTCAGCTGTGCTTTAAACATGCATTTTATTTTTATTTTATTAATAATATTTTCCCAGCTTCATGGGTAAGACCCATTTTATTTTCTGGGTGGACTCTGAAGTATCAGGCAGCTTGGGATTAGCTCACAAATGATTGTCACCAGTGTTGATGGAAGAGTTATCTGGAAAGATCTGCAGTCCCAGTTCTGTGTTGTAGGAAATACAGATATATTTCCATCATCCCTGTGTTCATTAATGCTGATTTGCCCTGTTGTGGTAAGAGATTTATGTTGGCTGGCTATTAAGTCCCTTACTGGACACTTCAAAAGGGAATTGCGTTCTACCTTCAGTAACTGTGAGAATAAAGAACAATAATACTGTTGAGGGAAGAAGAGGTCATTTGATGACATGATGCTGAGAAGCCAAGCCTGCAGCACTGCCTTCCTTCACATTGCAGTTACTCCTGCAGGAACACTGGATGTGTCAGCGTTGCCATCTCCCACATTTCCATGCTCCTCAGCACACCTATGAGAGCAGCTCACATATCCATGGGAGCTTAATCTTAATATATTTTTACTGGACTATTTTCACCAGGAAGCATGGGCAAATTCGTGCCTTGTGCAGTACTTTTTGCATGTTGTAAAAAATAATTTGGTTCAAAACTTCAGGGACCAAGATGCTGGGCTGTCACTCTGAGGACTTTGAGTTGGAGCAGGGTCAGCAGCACTGTGCCAGTTCCCATTCTGACCAGCCTCAGACATCACCACGCTGAGCGCTCTCCGTTGACCTGACCGATGCACAGATTGAGATAAAGCTTTAGATTGCCTCTTAATAATTGAAATATAATGTCTGCCTGTTTCGTTGTGTGTGGCTTCTAGCAGCTCAGAAAGGAAGCTGATAGAAAATGCCCCTTCTCTAGAATTAGTGCAGGTTTCTCTGGAGGAAAAGAGCAGATCCTGGGTGACTTACTGAACTCCAAGTTCCATAGAAGACACTAGCTAGGATTTGTGGCACATGATTTCTGCACAAGCCAGAGCAGGTACTCAATATTTCATTCACCACCATTTTCTTGTTTGTTTGCCAGTTGTGACAAAAATGTTGGCAGGCAGCTCTTTGCCAGCACAGTATGGAGCTGCACTGAGTTTCTGGCAGCAGAAGCAGATGTGTTTGCTGGAAGTTCAGTCACTGATTCCATATCAGGTATTTTATTTATATGAATTGAAAAAGTGACCTGAAACATCACCACTTGCAAAGTGATTAATTTTAATTAATGTAAAACTAATGGACTGGAAAATGGTAGGTGCAATTCAGAATCATCAGTAAAATCTCAAGTAAACATTTATTGTTCTGCCCATTAACCCAGCATGTAATGTCAGCTGTTCCAAGGTGACAGCTGCATCTTAAACAGGGAAATGCAAAAAGATTTTTTTACAAATCCCATTTTGAGCTTCATGTTCTATCCAAGAAGCAGTGTCTGGTAATTCCGTGTACATTATTTAATTCTTATAGTTTGTTCTTGGATAGTAAACAGCACAGCAGATCAGTATCTTCTAGTGGAGACACCATTCTAGGTCACAACCTTCCAGCAGCAGAAACAAGATCTCCTCTACTGTTTTGTGAACACGTTGCTGAAAAGTACAGTATAGTAAGTGACATGACAATTTGTAAACACCTGTGCAAAATGTTTTTACAGTTAAGTTAAACTTGGTTAATACTATTGTTTGCTTTGATTCTTTTATGTCACAAATGCTCTGTGGAGAAGGATCTGTGGGTCCTGGTGGACGACAGGTTGGCTGTGAGCCAGCAGTGTGCCCTAGTGGCCAAGAATGCCAAATGGGATCTTGGGGCACATTAAGGAGCGTGGTCAGCAGGTCAGGGGAGGTGATCCTCCCTCTCTACTCTGCCCTGGTCAGGCCTCACCTGGAGTATTGTCCAGTTCTGGGCTCCCAGGTACAAAAAAGATGGGGATCTCCTGGAGAGATTCCAGCAGAGGGCCACAAAAATGATAAAGGGCCTGGAGCATCTCCCCTGTGAGGAAAGGCTGAGTGAACTGAGTCTGTTCAGCCTTGAGAAAAGAAGACTGAGAGGAAATCTTATTAATGTTTATGAACATCTTAAGTGTGGGAGTCAAAGGGACATGGCCAACATCTTTTCAGTGGTCTTTGGGGGCAGGACAAGGGGGAACAGCCATAAACTGGAGCATAGGGAGTTCTGCACCATTATGCAAAGGAACTTCAGTGAGGGAGACAGGGCACTGGAACAGGCTGTCCAAGGGAACTTGTGGAGTCTCCTTCTCTGGAGATATTCAAGACCTATCTGGATACTAATTGTACAGCCTGCTGTAATGATCCTGCTTTGCAAGGAGTTGCACTCAGTGATCTCTAGAGGTCTCTTCCAACCCCTACAATGCTGTGAAATGTTATCAGAATTATTTATTTTTTTAACAGCAGTGGGGCTTTGAAAATAATTTTCATGTGTCTGATTTCTAATAATAATTCTACTGTTTTGAAGGTGATGATACGTGTGAGTATCTTCTGTCCAGTGGGAGATTTCTCGGAGAAAAAGTGTGGCAGCCTCATAGTTGTATGATGCACAAGTATAAAAACAGGTATGGAAATCCTTCTTTTGTTCTTCTTCTGGGAAAGAAGATTAATTGTTGTCTGCTGCTGAAATTGCAGTCTCATGCTTTTTTTTTTTTTTTTTTTCTTTGTGGCCTGTTCTCCAGGCTTTGAAATATATGCAACATCTATCAGAAGATTTTTTTTTTTTTTTTTGCTTTACATTTTCCATGTAACTGTAGTGTCTACCACATTTCTGTCTCTGTATTAGAATACAAATAAATGCTGCTGGCAGTACTGGTGCTTGTCATGAGGAGCTACCAGGTAGTTTGGAAACTGCTTTCTTTGTAGCACTGTAGAATAGAAAAGCCTACTTTATCATTCCAGTAATCATATTAGCTGAAAAGTTGACTTTCATTTATATGCAAATTATGCTAAACTTATAATTATTTCAACACTGAAAAGATTTACTGTTACTTAGCACTGGATATAATACATACAATTATCTATATTGATCTATAGATTTCACTGACGACTTTTCTCTAATATATTATAAATTTCCTGTAACACGAGTGTTGCTGTTTTGTTTTTCAGTGAAGCAAAAAATTGCCTCATAGACAAACATATTGTGTTTTTAGGAGATTCTAGAATTCGACAGCTGTTCTATTCATTTATAAAAATCATAAATCCTCAAGTCAAGGAAGAAGGAAATAAGGTGAGGTGGTGTATTTTGATGATTTCTGTTTCTTTCTTTTCCAATTTACTTCATAACTCTTCTCTGAACTCATTTTGCACTGCTTGCTTGGCTAGGAAGAAGCAGCACAAAAAAGAATAGCAAGATTAGACCAAGATACTGAAAGTTTGAGAAATGAACTAGGAAGCTTGAGAGAAAGCTCCCAGCAGTCTAAATAAACAAATACAGCTGACTTCTCCCATAGCTTCTTAGGTTTCATACTTGCTTCTTATTGAGAGAACGATTGTTCCATTCATGCTTTGCAATTTGGTGTCTTATATGTTAATTAGATTGCTAACCTAACCTGTTCCTAAAAAGCCTTGGGCAATGACAGGTTTCCAAGTTTAACTTGAGTCTGAAGCTGTAACTAAAACTGGCTTCTGATCTCACCGTGCTTTTGATTGTTGCTGAAAGGTAGGTTTTTATAAGGTGGAGAATGTAAACTGCAGCCTACTGCATGGAAGCAGTAAGAAAGAATTTAGCTGTAGACTATCAGTTTACTTTATTATATCACACTTCTTAGGTCTGACTCGTCATGGATGTATGTACGTATGTGAGGGAAAAGACACACTTCACTTCCAACTGCAAATGAGATCCATCATAAGTACTTCTGTGGTTTAAAAGTGCAAGCTAGCAGCTTGTCTGACAGAAAGGATGCAGTCACTTAGACTTGTCAAAACAAGGTGTTTGATTGATGGAGTAACTTTCTTTTTTTTTTCCTGGTTATATCACATTTGCTGCCTAAAGGCGAGACTAAATTGAGCAGCTGTGAGATGACAGGGTGCTATAACTAATTTTAAGCTGAGAGATATCTTCTGTCAAGTATTTATGAAATCCAGATCTGTTTATCGAAGATAAATATACTTTTTATTAGGATCAAAATTAACATTGTCTTAGTATTTAAAGGATTGTAAATGCTCTTAAGGATTTCTGGCTGCTTTCTTTCTAGTTTCTCACAGTCTCACTCAGAAATGTAATGATACCTTCCAGGCTTTGTTTATTCCTGAGATTAATTTTTTCAAATCTGTAACTAAAGCTGTTTCATTTGATCTGTGCGAAGAAGATAGGTGGATGAACAGGAAGGGTAGGGGAAAGGAAGTGGAAGAAAAGGAGAAAAAAAAAATCTAAAGGTTTCTCATTTGGGGAGGGAAAATATTTAATGAGACCTTTCTAACGTAGTGAACAGAAGGCATTTCAGATGTAATTCTACCAGGAAAAATAACCCTCTGTGAGAGTAGTTTGTTTTATCAAGAAAACAATATAAACATTTTGCATTGGAATACTGACTTGTTTATACAAGAAAATGCTGAAGGTAAACCTTTGGGTTAGAGTGAGTCAGCGTAGCAGTTTTTTTCTTTTGAAGGTTATCTTACTTTGCTTTTATTGGTTTATTTGTTTTGGCAGCATGGAAATATCCCTTTTGAAGATAAATCTGCTTCAATTAAAGTGGTAAGTTTTTATCAGGCATTAAACTGTAAGCCATAATAATTTGTATCTAATTTCACGCAGTGTAATCCAAACTGCAGTCAGTTTGATTTTTTTCAAACTTTTGCATGTGCTGAAAAATGAAAAGTAGTTTCAGAGCATCAACGTTCTTTATAAATCTTGAACAAATTACATAAGAGTGTATCTTCAATGCATTATATTATACATCAGATACTTTGAGAGACTTCGGCTTTGAGTACTCTCACAGATTCCACCGTTCCATGTACTTACATTATTCAAGAGAACTGCAAAATCTTTAGATCTGCAGTAGTGAAAGAGATCTCCTTTCTGCTGGGAGTATTTCTGCATTATGAAGTTTCTTTACAGTAATTTTTGCATATGTAATCCTTGCAATTTCAGTTTAATGTGTATTTGCAGTCTTTCTGATGCTTCTGCAGAGTAACTGGGTAGTAGGTAGTCTGAGCTTAGCTGGAAGATGTAATATCATTAGCCAACATGTGGATTGTTTTTCTAGCTGATGTCAAGAGCAGTGCTCAACATTCTAAAATAAAAAAATGTAGTAGGTGATGGGTTTAACATCCATGACACTGTTAAGCAGGTAACAATTTACAAAGTGGTAATGTAAAATGTTGGGATTTCTTTTTGTTTGAGAACTAAAATTCCAAGTTTTCAGTCATATTAGTCTCTAAAGTTTCGGATTTTAAAAAAATCCATTGTTAAAAATTGGGAACTGAGGAAAAAATCTAGTCAGTATATACAGGTTATAAGATGTGAGTTTGGTTTTAGCCATGATAGCATGGAAGGGAAACCTGAGGACATCCCATTTGACAGAGTCTAAAAACTTAGTTTCTTGATGAAATCTTGACTCTTGAACTACATGTTATTATTATTGTCATTTTAATGGGGAGAACTTGTTTGGTTTGGTTTGGTCTTCCTACCAGACTGCAATGTCAGACTTATCAGACTTGCTGTAAAGGAAACCTCACTTGGGCTTATGTGGTTTTCTTTTACACTTGAGCTAATGCCAATTAGTTGTTTTTCTGTTTTGTTTTGTTAGTCTACTGCTTGTCTTAGTGCTTGCAGATTAAATCTGCATTTCTTTTAAAGGATTTCCTGTGGTACCCAGAAGTTAATGGCTCTATGAGGCAGCGTATCAAATCTTGGACTGAGGTTAGTCTTAAACTGTTTATTTTAGGAAAATATTCTGACTTCTTCCTTTCATAAACATGGCTATAAATACAAAAAGGTTAGCAACTGCAGCATATCACACTATATTCAGTCAGTTATGTAGCAGAGGTCTGAAATCTGGCATCAAAATAGTGAAAGGGAGTATGTGTGTGAATATATACTTATTAGCATCTACTGTCTGCCAGGGATGCCTTTACTTGGGCCAAAAAAGGCCTCAGCAGGAAAAGAAAAAACAAAACAAAACCAAACATCTGCTTTCTAGGAGCAGGTTGATTCATCCCAGTAGGAACTGAAAGAATTTTTCATCTGATTTGACAATGTTAAGTTCTCTTTAAAAGCTAAATTGACAGTAATTCTAAGTGCTTATCTGCTTTCATTCTTGCAGATTCTATGAAATGAAAATTGGTGTTTGTGATATATCTGCAGTCTGTTGTTATGTAACCACTAAATGATGGATAATTTTGAGCAACTGTTATTTCAAATGGAAGTCTTAGTTAACCTGATTAGTACGTTAAATGATAACTATGATTTCTGAATACTTTAAAACTAATTTCTTTCTACTTTCTCTCATAGGGTTCTGTGGCAAAACCTCATATAATTGTAGCAGGAGCTGCCACGGTAAGCTATGAATGCATGTGGTATGTAAGTAAAGGAGGAAGTTCTAGTAGAGTAGTTTTTATTCTTTCAAGTTGGTTACAAGATAAAGCTGTTAATCCCAGTTTGTAATAAAAGTATACTCTCTGTGAAATTCCTGCTTATAGCAAGTAGTTAATTCTTAAGCATCAGGTTACAGCTGCGTGATACACACTACTTGGTTTAAAAGCAGTTTAGTTCAGAGACAGTTCAGGTGTTCTACCATTGTAGGAGATCCACACAAATCCACTGGGCTTTAGGAATCTTACCAAGGCTAGAATGTCTCTGCTTAGTCTTTCTACTGAATGAAATGTGCTTCTTAAAATGTATGTAAAAGTACTGCAGGTATTTTAGCTGTGTAGATTCAGCTACTGGGAGTCATACAGGTTCTGAATCTTTTTATTTTATTCTCCAGTGGTCTATCAAGATTCACAATGGCAGCAATGAAGCCCTCACACAGTATAAAATCAATATCACTTCAGTTGCACCTCTTTTGGAAAAATTAGCAAAAACTAGTGATGTTTACTGGATCTTACAAGGTAAAGTAATGAACAGTAAGTAACAAGAATTCATATCGTCACTGTCAGTTGAACCAGTCTCTCATAGGTTATGAAGAACTTAGTCTGTACTGCTGATTTACCAACTACATATGTTGGCTGAATTGCAGTGCAGCTTTTTGAGCAATTGTAACTAGCTGACTCCTAACTAGCTGTTACTAGTGATGGAGATTTTCATTCTCTCTTGGGAATTTTTTTTTGCCTCCTGAACACCTGATTCTGAGTCTCTCTCAGACTCAGGATTCTAGGACTATTTTCTTTTCTGTCTTCCTGTGTTTGTGTTCCACTAAGTTTTTAGATTACATAAATAATGGAAGAGGTTCTACAAATGCAGCTTGTGTGTGTCTAGAATTAACTCTGGAGAATATTGAGAATTTAGTTCTCTGAAGACAAACTGGCATCTGTATGCTAAACATTGGTGAGTTAAGATCAGGAGCAGAAATCATGGTCAAAATGAGTCTGTGAGGTTTCTGTCATGGCACCAACTTTCTTTAGCTTTTCTTCAACAAAACTCAGGTATGTCTTTGATGCTGAACAGTGAGCTGATAGGTCAAATGTGTTTTATGAGCCAGGAAATGTTTCAGATGGTTGTCACCTCTGTGAGAAAGATAAGCAGGTTTTGAGCCCTAATAGCAATATGCTCAGCTGTACCCTTAAAGTTGTATGTAAGTTCCTGTCAAAGATGGTTCTAGAGATTAACCTGGATCAACAGATTAATCTCTTCACATTACTTTCAAGACTAAATTTGTCTATTACAAAAGCAATTAGCTGTCAGACATGCTCCAACATTCTGTTGATAAAGATCCAGTCCATTTAAGTAATCTCTGAGCTCTTTATTGTTATAATGGAACAAATAAGAGCAGAAACTGTACACAGAGCATAGTATATGCTGTACGGACGTGGATTATCCAAAATAGTCATGAGGCAGCTTGAGTAGATAACCTTATTGCTTTTACTGTGTTTTACCAATTATGAGCATCAGCAGCTTTTCATAGCGACTTGGTGATTTTTTTTGATCTGCAGTCCTGTACAGCTTAGTGTTAAGTTCCAAGTAATCCTTGTAGCCTGCAGACAGCTAAGTACTGCTCCAACCTGCTGAAAAACTAAGATTCTAACATCAGTTAAATTGGGATCAGCAGGAACCAAAGGAAAAGGCTTATGATCAGCAGGAACCAAAGGAAAAGGCTTATGGAATGTGGCTTAGAGAAGTGAGAAACCAGTTTCATCTGCAGCAAGTTTTGAGATTATTCTTTTCCCCAGTGTATCTGTTCTGCCTGTCTTCTATCATCTTGTGTTTGGAACCTTTACTTGTGGCATTCCATTTCTAAGAGAAGGCATAAGCAGCTGTACTCCAGCACTGTGCTGCACATGGAGCACAAAAGCGTTCATGTCTGTCCAAAGCTTTTTGATCTATTAGTACACGTGCATAACTAGGGAATAACATTAAGAGTATTCTGTTATAAACAACTCTGGTTGCAGTAATGGTCACTGATTCCTCGCTGGTTTTGCTATGTCATTAAACAACATTGAATACCAAAATGATAAGGACCTGTGCAATCTGAGCTAACCAAATGTATTTTGATGTAGACTCTTCATGTACTCATTTTTTATCCTTTCAAATTCAGATCCTGTTAATGAAGATATGCTGAGTGAGAGTCGGAAAATGATCACTAATGAGAAAATAAATGCTTATAATGAAGCAGCTGTCCGTATTTTGAACAGCAGCTCCCGAAATTCAAAAGCTAAAGTTAAAGTGTTCAGTGTATCAAAACTGATAGCACAAGAAACTATTATGAAGTCTTCAGATGGCTTGCATCTGCCTGAATCAAGCAGGGATACGGTAAGTATTTTTAGCACTGGTAAACATTAAAAAATAATAATAGTAAAACAGGATTTAAGGGAATGTTTTGAAACAGCAGACAATATGAACATAGTGAGAACCTTCCTGTCCTTCAGGAGATTTTGTTCAGAAGATCCCAGTAGGTGGAATGTCAGGCAGTTTTGCTAATTTTTGTTTATCAAAGAGTGTGAAACAAATGAGAAAACACACAGTATAGATTTTCTCCATTGTGTGGAGTGCCAGTGACTTTAATTCTTGTATTATCTTTAAGCTATGAATACATATGCATGTCGTGAGCCTGAGTGTGGTCAGAGTGCCCTCTCTGTGACTGAACTCTCCTGCTGTGTCAGCATTAGTTCTGCTCCTTTGCAGGTTTCAGTTGCTTTTGAATATTGGATGAGCTAAATATCATCTCACCAAGGTTTTAGTCTCACTGTCATACTGTAGACATTTTCATTACCCTGCCCTTGAGGACGCTAAATTTGTGAGCTATATTTTATGTATAGTCTATATATTTAGTTATAGCTCCTCTTAGAGTCAGTAGAGAGAACCCTTCTGTTGTAAGAATTCGCCTTAAGTCATTCTGCTTACCTCAGGAGGCTAAAGATTTTAGTCTTTGGAACAGGTGTTTTGATTCCCATGCTGAATGCAACGAGGATTATGAGGGTTCCTATGAAATTTTTCCTATATGATAAGGGGGAAGTGCATAGTTTTTCTGTCAATGCATGATCTAGTTAAAGAAAATTTTATGTGATGACAACATTCAGAGATTAATTGGAGAACTGTCTATTTCTTTGACAGAATGCAATGATTCTTATGAATGTCTACTGCAATAAGATAATGAAACCCATTGACGGCTCCTGCTGCCAGCCTCAGCCTCCTCTCACTCTGATACAGAAATTAGCTTTCTGTTTCTTTACTTTGTCCATTGTTGGATATTTTGTTATCAGTATAATTCATCGGAATAATTATCGAAAGAACAAATCATGCACTGATTTGGAAATTGGAGAGGAGAAGAAACCTACCATCAGTACTCCTAATGTTTCTACTTTAGAGATGCTGTTACACTGTTTCTGCAAACTTGGTCTAATCATGACCTATTTTTATCTATGTGACAGAGCAAATCTTTTCATGAAGGAAAATAAATTTTATACACACTCATCTTTCTTCATACCGATCGTCTATATCTTGGTTTTGGGGGTATTTTATACCGAAAATACAAAAGAGGTAATGATCAAGTTGACATCTTATTTGTAATGTAGTTTGAGAGTTGGAGTGTAAATTTCAGATTGCTGATTATTGGAAGTAAACTTTTTAGTGTCAGTATAACTCATCTGCAGAAAATACATTTGCAGCAGTGCAGTGTTTTGCATGGAATTAGATGTAGAATTTTCTTAAAAGCATGTGGGTATGAGTGCGTTTGGCCTTTGCTGCAGTCAGTTTTTAAGCAAGTGTAGCTCAGGTATGTGAGAGTGTAGATCACATTAATATGTCTGTTTGCAAGAGGGCTTTTACAGTTAGGCCTATTTGCCCATAAAGTGGTTTATTGTTTTGAATTTTTTCTCCTCGTTTTGTAGATGTTCGTTGTACTTTTTGGAATAGCAACACTCTTGTTTTGTTTTGCACTAGACTAAGGTGTTAAACAGAGAACAGACTGATGAATGGAAGGGCTGGATGCAGCTTGTTATTTTGATTTATCATATCTCTGGAGCAAGCACTGTAAGTGAATTTCAAGGTTTCTTTGGGGGAATGCAAATTGGGCAGAAAGCACAAATACTTTATAGACTTGAATAGATTGAACAATTCATACTATTGTTCTGGTCATTTTAGAAATGATATTTGCAGAATTAGGGTATTTTTCAGTTTCCCTGATGAGAGAATGTTGTGCATGATTCAACCAAATACAAAATGTACTTGATTTCTTGATGCAGAAGACCATGTTATTTTTATTTGTCAGCAAAACTTTATGTTCAGAGCTCAAAACTATTGAAGTTAAGCTTTCAAATATCCCTTCTGAACTCTATCTTAACTGATTAAAGAATATGGAAAGTGTAGAATGATAATAATAAATAGAATCTGAATACAGTTCTTGTAATAACATGGGAGAGATGGGGGCAACAAAAGAGCTTAGTAAGAAACAAGAAATGCAGCATGTTTATTTTCCTTGCTAAACCTGATTTAGTGCAATGCAAAAAAACCAAAAAAAGGAAAACCAGAAGCATTTATGTGGTCATTTATAAAAGGTACATTATTTTTCCCCACAGTTTTTGCCTGTATACATGCATATTCGAGTTCTGGTGGCTGCATATCTGTTCCAAACAGGTTATGGGCACTTCTCATATTTTTGGATAAAAGGGGACTTCGGTGTGTACAGAGTGTGTCAGGTAAGGATATACTTACTTATTTACTTATAAAGAACTTATTTTTCAGGAAATAGAATATCAACAACACATCCATACTCCTGAAGTAGTGTGACGTTAGGTTACTTAACCAAAGTTTTCACATCCAAAGTGGATATTGTTTCTGTGCAGTCCAACACATTTAATGTCTATTTGTTATTATTTTGCATATGCAATGTTGTCATCAATGTAAAAAATGTTTGTAGGCCTTAAAAAAAGAAATAATGTTATTAAATATTTTGTAATGTATAGCAGTGGAATTGCCATTGTGATGTGTGTATGAATATATATGTATGTACATATATAATGATTTAAGCTGGTATTTCTGCAAAACTTTGTTTTTTCTATGAGTTGGTAAATATTTGGTGAATTCAAGAGGCATTTGTATACAGACATTCTGTATTTGTCTTCCTCTGTGAATAAAGGTAATTGTTCAGTGAGTTATTCAGCACATGGGTTTGCTTGCTCCCAGCACTGCAAGTCTTTATGTAGATGAAACAAATGCTGTCTTGTGTCTGATTTAAATTAAAGTCATTTCCAAGTGCTTACACTGTAAAAGCTTTTAATTTTTGCATGCACTTTGAGTCTTTTCCTTATTGCTGGGGAAATGAAAACTCTTTGTTTGTTTTGTTGGGACTTTTAATAGCGTCCCAAAACATTTGCAGTATTTTTCTTTTTCTTTCCTTCAGATGAGTGATGTTTTGGATCTGTTGAAAAAACTTTCCACATTGCTATTTCATTAAGCATCCAACTGTTTTGTACTGAAGTAGATTACTAATACACAAACAAGAAGCATCACTATAATATTTGCTGCCTCTTTCAGAACTTAGCAAAGCATCCTCACACGCTCCATATTAATTTTTGCACATTGCAGAATCTAAGCTGAATTTTTCTTCAGTCAGGACAAAGTTCTGCATGGCAGCAGCTTGTTTAACCACTGGGTGTGTAGAATATCACACTCCTCTAACATTTTTAGAAATATTGAAAATTTCATCAACGTATCAGGTGTAGCTGCTTCCTTTGGGGAAGAGGGAGGAGTCGACTTATCTTTCATTTTAGAATGTTTTATTTTCCTGAAGCCTTTTCACTTGAGGGTTCAAAAATTTTTAGATCCAATGGCAAAATGGAAAAAAAAACAAACACTCTCCAAATGGTTGCATTAATTCTCAGGGGGTTTTTTGGTTTATTTTGTAGGGTTGTTTTATTGTTGTTTTCCCCTCAAAGACATTATGTTAGAGACTACAGCAGATGGGATGCTCACTCAGTCCCCAGGCTGGGAGCAGCTCTGTTGTACCCTATTTTCATTGTTGTTGCTGCTGAAGTAGGCCAGGGTAGGCTGGCCCCGTCCCACATCATTAAGCTGCAGTCTCGTGTTGCTCTGCTGTTCTTCCTATGTTTCAACTGAAATATGATCGTCATGTGAGGTGATGTTTTCATGTAATGCTGAAGAAACATTCTCCCCTGTCTCTGCCAGCTTTGCCTTCCAGTCTATTTACTTTACATGAGAATGCATTCTTTCCTCTGGCTCCCTTCAGGTATTATTTCGCCTCAATTTCTTGGTCGTGGTACTGTGCATAGTGATGGACCGACCATACCAGTTCTACTACTTTGTGCCACTTGTTACTGTCTGGTTTATGATCATTTATGCCACCTTGGCTATGTGGCCTCAGATAGTCCAGAAGAAAGCAAATGGTAAGATAATGCTCTTTTGCCCTTCTACTCTAAAACATTTACATGTTCCTGCAGATGATAATCATGCGGAAAGCTGCTGTTTGTAGATCTCAGTCTTTTTGTACAATAGTACAAACAAGTTAAGTGCCTGCTCACAGAAACAGGTTGTTACAGATGAACGATATATCAGTTGAAAAAGTAAAACAGCTGATAACGTCTATGTCTGGTTGTAGTCGTATAAGATTCTTTTTAATAGCTTTGACCATCAGAAATGTATTCTATCGAGAGCTGTAGCACTGATAAATGGAAGCTAAAAATACAGATTGCACTGTCTTTGCTAGCTGAAATTACTGCCGTAGTGTAAGGATCGGAGCAGCATGAGCAGTGAGCATCTGCACGTTGCCATTCTGGATTGCCAGCATGCTGATCCATCCTGAGCACTGATGCCTCGTCCTGCCAAATAAGGGCTTGAGGTTTATCTTTAGCCCCGTAGATTAAGGGAACTGTATAAAGTATTTCTTGGAATGTGAAAACTAGAAATAAAAATTGAAGTGAAATCCCAGTTTTTCATGGATTATAGTTCAGAGAAGAGCTGTCATCTTGTGGTAAAAGCCTGTTAATTAATTCGCCTAAATTAGAACCTACAGCCCTAAGAGTCTTAGATCCCCTTTCCCAGTGTACAGAGTAAAGTGCAGGTTTTACAATCTGCAGATAAAAAAATGAAATGCATCAAACGCGTGCCAGAAATAGGGGTTGGAATAGACTTGAGGTGTTGATGTAGACTTGAGTAGACTTTAGTATTAATTGACAGCTTCAAGGAACAGTTTCTCTGTCTTGTCTTAAGAAGACACTTGTCCTTAATGCAGAGCTGGTACCCCTGAGTTTAATGATATATGCTCTTCTTATTTCACATAACAAGAGCTGTATTTTATTTATATTTTGCTCAACTGGAGTAAGAGATGCCTGTGTTGAATGTTTGGGAAAGCAGAGGCTTTAGAATGTTATTTCTCTTTGAAGACATTCTGTTTCTTTCTGTGTGGATGCTGACTCTGTTTTAGGTGTGAGGTTTAGTTTAGGATTATTAGATTGAAAATTATAGTAGTTGTTTATTTTAGTTACTTAAAGTAAAATGTAACATGTAACATCTAGGTAGAGGTAAAGTAATACCACTCGTAATATACTCGTAATATTTGAGTATCTGTTTATGATTCTTTCTAGTACTTAGCATAGCCACACTAAATAGTTGGCAATTACAATGAAATGTTTCCTTGTTTTCACTAGTGGAAAAATGAATGACCGTATGTCAATTAATTTCTTTTTTCCTCAGGGAACTGCTTATGGCACTTTGGTTTACTGCTTAAACTGATTTGCTTACTGGCCTGTATATATTTTCTGTCATATTCTCAGGTTTGTAAACTTCTCGTATCCTTACTGACTAACAGTATTATTAACTATCTCTACACTTGACAATATAAATAACTATTTCTACATTTTAGTGCTTGAGTATTTGCTTCTTTGTCACACATACAGAAGATAAAATGGAACCTTCTGTTTATTTTGGTTTTGAATTGGTGTGGTTGCTGGAAAACAAAAAAGCACAGTTCAGTATCTTATTTCTTTGTAATGCTTGACGTATTCATTACCCTACTACAAATGTAATAAATATGAAGGTGTATGGATGTTTTCTTTGGTTAATGATGGGTTTTTTGTGTGTGTGTTGTTGGTTTTGTTTTTTGTGTTTTGTTTTTAATGTGCTCAGAGTTAGCAGGTTTTCTATCAGATAGCATGTGGTGTTACAGACACCTGTGTCTCTCGGGGACCTGCAGTTGGCTTTGATGCTTTACCCAAAGAGTGAATCTCATGCTGAATTACCATCCTCTTGCTTACTGCGAGTATGGATGACATAAATAAGGGCAGCACCTGTCCCTCTAGAATTTACAGTGGCTTTTGTGTTTTTTAATCCACTATTGGTTTAAAGCCAACTGAACTGTACTCTTTTGTGGAACTTGCATTACTTATCCCAAAGTGTAAGTGGATCTCTCCCTTTGAGCCTCCAATACAAAATGGAAGGAGTGCCAATACCTTTGTGGGGAGGCAGAAAAAGGTATCTTTCTCATCTGAAGAAGTACTTTTGACTTCATTTATTTATTAGCTTTGGCAGGCATAGGGAGTGCTTCAGAGGAAGCCAATTATTTTGGTAACACCACTTAGCTTCAAATTCAGATTATCTAAACTAGTGAAGCTGGAATGACATAAATCAGTTAGCAGTCTTTTGATATGAAATTTAGTAAATATGGTTAATGTCAATGTTAATGCTTTTGTGATGTTTATTTTTTTATAGGGTGCATTTGAGAAGGTATTTTCTTTTTGGCCTCTGTCCAAGTGCTTTGAACTGAATGGGAATGTCTATGAATGGTGGTTTAGGTGGAAGTTGGATCGTTATGTATGTACCACTTACAGACCTTTTATACTGTACTTTTAAGTGTATTTTTTTTTTTTTTAAATTTGGAGGGTGTGGGAAGGTTTGTTCACCTTCCTCTAGAGAAAACAGGAGTTTGTCACAGTGGGTTGTTCACCTTAAGCCTAAGACACATTCACCTTAATTCTGCAAAGACCTTGCTTTAAAGAGGGATGTTGGCTTGCTTATTGCTACATTGTTCAGTTGCTTAAAAAATGATCAAATTTTTATCTTTCCTCTGAAATGTTATTGTGAAATAAAACAGAGAGACACAGTTCTTTTTTTTACCTTCTTATAAGGGTAAATGGATTGAAAGTGTTTATTTACTAACCTGACTCTTAGCTGAATCACTTGCATGCTTTTCCCTCTGGCACTCTTAAGTAACTTAAATCTGCAGAGTTCCTGGGGCACTGCCTTGCAGCATTTCAGACATAGAGCTCTGTTGGTTGTGAACAGTGCATATTCTGTAATGTTGCTGACAAGGAAGTCCCAAATTAACACTGAAGACAAGCAACACATGGGCCTGAAACAGCATCATGTTGCTAGCTAATGAGAAATTGGCATAACTTCATAAAACACTCAGCTGAAGAATTGTGCCTGTGAGAGAGGAAAGCACTTGTAGTGCTTTTTGAATGTTTTCACCTGCCAACTTGGGAGAAGGCCAGGGCCTCATGACTTTTCCCCAGAGAAAGCACATTTCAAGTGCTGGCACAGATTGAAGAGAGGATAGTGGGTACTTGAAAGCATCTTGAAACTTCATTGTCCTGAGACTTCATGTCTTTAACATCCTGAGAAGAATTAGTAAGAATGCTTTATCCTTAGTATTTCAGCTAAGTTAAATAAAAGCAGCTTATGACAACCTGATGTAGGAAGCCTATTTTTGTTAGTTTCAGTAAATCCCTAGGTTTTGGTATTACAAATGGATTATGCTGTAGCTTTTCTGTTGTAGAAGTTTGTACCTGAAGTACATGTAAGCCATGAAATACTCATTATGTTGTCTTTTACAGGTGGTTTTTCATGGAATGCTGTTTGCTTTTATTTATCTGGCATTGCAGAAGCATCAGATGATTTCAGAAGGAAAGGGAGATCCACTTTTCTCCAGCAGGGTTTCAAATGTTTTATTATTTATTTCAATTGTATCCTTTTTGGTAGGTACCTTGTTTACAGATTTACAAGGCTGATTATACTTGTTAAAGAATTCCTTCTGGTTTCTGAAGTTCTTATTTAGAGAATAAGGGTAAATGGATTTAAAAATCATTTCTCGATCTGGGGATGCTTCAGCTGTGTATTTTTGTGCAGCCTGAACCATCTACTCACTCATTCAGTTTTCAGTCAACTGTAGGTGAAAACTTCATCAGTTTTTCACATCACTGCAAAAACTGTAAGAAAAACAGATAAATAATATGATAGATAATGGAGCTCTTACCTTCACCCTTGATCAGTAGTCTAAATGTTGTTTAAGAAAAAATAATTGTCAGCATTGTGTTTTCATCTTTGTGTGTGAATAATTATGGTATTTGTCAGTTGCAAAAAGAGATTTGGGAGAAACACAAACCTAAGCACTGTGTTCTTCCTGTTACTGCTCCACAGCCAAATACTGCTGAAACACTTCAAAATGGTCTATCTGTTGTTTCATTTGTCAGTGTTACACACCACTGTTACTCAGCTGATACTTGTATCTTGCAGACCTATTCCATTTGGGCTAGCAGCTGTAAGAACAAAGCAGAGTGCAATGAACTGCATCCTTCTGTTTCAGTGGTGCAGGTAATGATCTTCCTTTTTCTTACAATGATAAATCTAGACTGGCAATCTGCAGACTGTTCATAAAAATATAAACTGTTCATAAAAATATATATTAAATGTGATGAATATGTATATATGATGCACCTGTGGTTTGGTTAAAGTGAATAAAGTTGTGTGTGTATGTGTGACCTGCTTGTCACCCATAGTCACATCTTTAACTTTCTTTTCTTTTTCCTTTTTTCCTTTTTTTTTTTTTTTTTCCCTTAAGATTTTAGCTTTCATCCTCATCAGGAACATTCCTGGTTATGTCCGTTCTGTATATAGCTCTTTTTTTGCCTGGTTTGGTAAAATTTCTCTAGAGGTAAGTGAGATAACAGAGCTGTGGTGATTAGCTTAGAAATGCAGGGTGGTTTTGTTACATAAATTGCAGCAGTATAAGATAAATATGGAAAGCATGTTGTTTTATTTAATGCTGTTCTTTGACCAGTTTTATTGTAGCTTCCATCCACACTAAAATGTCACAGCTGAAATAGTAGTATCAGAGTAGCAGTGTTATTTCTCATGCTGTTCTGGGGGAGACTTGTAGACTGTGAGAGCTGAGGTGTTGTGCTGAGGTAAGGTGTAGTGTGTATTCAATTAGAAGACAAAAGAATCAGCATTAACTGTACTGGCAGAGTAAGCACATTTATAAATCAGTTTGCCCTAAAAAGCTTTGCTGCGTTAATAAAGAAATACAGCTTCACAAGCAGAACCCTTCTTTGTGCACATTTTCTTGTTCCACGGAGAGTATAATTTGAAAGAGTAGGAATTACCTTGCTTTCTATTTTGCTTGCTCATTATTAATATTAGGTATATAATTTTATTATTAAATACACTTTTTAAAAGAAAGGAGAGAAAAAATAGGAGAATCTCAGTGTGATACAGGGGAGTCCATGATGAAATTTTTCCTTTAAGGATGGTGTTTTCAGCATCCTGATCCGTGGTGGACTTTAAGGTGCTGATCAGCTCCAAGGGCTTTTCCACTCACCAGCAGTTAAAGCCTTACCTTTTGTTTGCAGGCACATTAGTAAGCAGAGAGATGGTTACTGAGTGCAGGTGTATTCCTGATCTGTTCTGATAGAATGTAAACTGTTTGTGTCCAATTGGCTAATTCTATGTTTTTGTTGCCCTCTTTTTTTTTTTAAATGTTTTATTTAAAAGTATTTAAAAAATAAGAGTTTTGTTGCTTACATACTTTATCTATAACTGTATCCTAGTTAACTATATGCAGCCCAAGACAATTCCTCTTCATTCAGTGTGGCCCAGGCAAGCCAAAAGGTTGGACACCCACGAAAATGATGCTCCTGTATGCCTTGTTGGGTTAAGTCTAAGCAAAGCTAATTTGCTGTGTGCTCTCTCAGTTAAAAACTGTCTTCAAGGTCAGATACTGGGCCTTATCTAAGGGAGCTTATAGCAAAGATGTGTGGAATACACTTTCTCAAAGTACATTATTCAGTCCTAGGTATCTTATTTGAACGTTGCTTTGCTTGATGCAATAGTAGTAATATGATTTTTATGTACGCAGAAATACTTAAACATTCTTTTCTTCTAGCTTTTCATTTGCCAATACCACATCTGGCTGGCAGCAGACACGAAGGGGATCTTGGTGCTCATTCCTGGCTATCCGATGTTTAACGTTATTGTCAGCACTTTCATATTTGTGTGTGTGGCACATGAGATTTCTCAGATCACTAATGATCTAGCACAGATTGTGGTTCCTAAAGATAACTCAACTCTGCTGAAAAGGTTACTGTGCATAGCTGGTTTTTTTTCTGGACTTCTCTTCTTCTCAGCAATGCAAGAGCAGTCAAGGCATTGATTTGAAAGAGTTCTTGAAAACTTTCTTCAGGTTTGCTTTGTGTCTGCCTGAATAAAAATTCTCAACTGGAGGTACAAAAAGACATTTACGTGAGGTGAGTGGAAGATGTAAATAGTGGGAATGTACATATTTCGTGTGAAAATAACCTTCTCCAAGAAACTGAGAAACAAGAATGCACTGTACAGAACTGCATGTGAAAACAGGTCTTTTTCTACTGGATATATGTTTCTGTTTACATATCTGTATAAATGTGGCAAAACAAAGTGAAGTGAAATGGAATAGCAGTATCATGTGCATATCATGGAATGATCTGTTCCTTGGGTCCAGTAATGGAGGGTGGATGCTACTGTACAACGTGTAGACATAATGCACGCTGTAGTCATTCTTATCAAGGAATGAGAGGAGAGCAGATTTGCACTCCTCTGTTAATGGTCACTTTTAGCTGATGTGAAACATGAAGTTATTTCTCTGGTAAATCAGGGCATTTTTCTAAACAAAGTGGTAATTTGTTTAGGTGAAGATAGTATCTGTCATGTGAAACCCTTTATACACAGAAATAAAAAGTCAGCACCACTTCAGTGACTTAAGATGATATACAAGTTTACAAAACATTTTGTGTGGTTTTTAAGACATTTCCAAGAAGTATGGTGAATTATGAGGTGAAATCTTGTTAAATATATAGCATTGTTTTTTTCTCCCCTAAAGCTGTTTGCTTTGTTGTAAGTTTTCCACTAATTCATGTAATTACGTGCAGTTCTTTCTGTACAGTCCCTATGTTGAAGCTATTGGAAAAATACTGAGCTATTTCTTCATTGTGTGCGTTATTTCCAATGTTTGGAAAGTTATCCTCCTTAATGAGAACGTGAATCACTGAAAGATGTGGTAAAGGTCAACACTGGTGGCCGGGATGCATTGATTGCCATCTGTGCCAGTATTAGCGGTCACGGAGAGCTTTGAACTTGAGGGGATAATTTTTGTTTCGTTCTTCACAAGCTGAGTATTGTAGATATAATTTTATTTATCTGTTGTACAGATTTGGTTAAAAGATTTATTTTTAATGTTTGAAATAATGCACTTGTTTACTATTACTGTATGTGGGATAAATATATTTTCTTTTCATGTTACATATATGAAGTAATTTAAATATTAAATAAATGTGCTGTGGATGCTTATTTTTGTAATGGGAACAGCAGCGATTAAGTAGAAGTTTTTTTATTGCCTGACTCTAGCTGGGCTGCAGCTCACTACCACACCTGTTGTAAGTTGATGATTAGTATTGCAGAATTTCTCTGAAGTGATATTCTGGACACTGTTGCTGCAAATTAAGATGTCCACTTGCATAGCTGCATGTCTGCTTGACCCTGAGTGTAACACTGGGGCTAAAGAAGCCCTCCCCTGTGGCACGGTCCTTGCAGAGCACACGGCTGGAGTTACAGCTTCAGCAGCCAGAATCACTGCCATGTGTGGGCGATGTTCCAAGGTACCATTGCTGGGGAGAGAGAGAATGCAATCCCCTGTGGGCTATAAACCAGAAACTGTGGCAGATTTCTGCATGACTTACCTTCAGTAAGATCAAGAAATCCATCCTTACGGTTTATTTGGTTTAAGGAATTTAGCTTGATGTAGCTGCTCAGGTCCCATACTAAGTAGTTAATATGAAGAGGGGGCTGCTCAAATAAAGGATTCAGAGCATGCGTTCTTCTCTCCCCAAGTGTGCAGGGAGGTGTGGGGCTGAACACAGTGGTGCAAATCCTCTTCCATCCTTCTCCCTGTTAAACAGAAACCCTGTGCAGTTGGCACCATTTCTTTCTTTAATTCTGAAGCACTGCCATCTGACATCACCATCAGTAACTGTAAAAAAGAGTTGTTCAGGCATCATTATGTAATAAACAAGCAACGACATTGCTACTTAATAGTTGTCTTATTTATTAGATTTTACACTTCATATATTTACAGAGACACCTGTAGTGCTTTTTACTTGATTATAGACAATCTGGTTACAATATCAGTTGTACTGTCATTGTACATTGCTAAAAGAGGCTGTAACTTTGCCATTCCATCTATCACCAGTTTTAACTATTACTAATTCTTTAACCTGAAGTGTCTTCGGTCAGCTTTATATATCTGTGCTTCTGTGGTAATTATTTTAATAAGTAAAAATAAATCATTTCTTATTAAACTTACCTCAGCTGCCTGAAGATTTCAATCATAAAACAGTTCAGGAGTGCTTAACACCCGTCAGCTACATCATCAGTTTTGTTCAGAGGACATGCAGCACCCGCTGCTACCATCTGATTCTTTGTGCATATATGTAACGGATTAAGAGAGTTCCTTAAATAAATTGGCCCTCCTGTGTCTTAATATAAATAAAATGGGAGCAGCTCAATTGGTATTTCAGTGATTGTCATGTCGTCCTAAGGTTATCAGAGATGATTGCGATCTGAGTTCAACACTATTTACAAAATGTGGTCTTTAGGTGAATAACAAATCATTATTTAAAATCTGTTCCATTCATTTCTGTTTCAGAGCACTGACAGCTCATACATTTGAGATTAGCAACAGAAACCCAAAGGCTGATTTTATTCAACTTTTTGCAGTGTGGCGGAAAAAAAAAAAAGGTACACTTTAAATTTAGCATACATCTCAGTGTTCATTATCTGGTCTTTAATTCACTTTTCCCTGATAGCCATCTGTGCTGCTGGGAAAGCAGTGTTCTCATAGGAGGCTGTGTGATGAAATCTCCCGTAGTACATTTTGATTGAGGTAGGAGTGAGGCATGCCATTTGGAAAGCAAGTAGGAATGGCTCTTTATTTCACCTGTTGCACAAACTGACTTGGTTTTTCAGCTTAGATAATATCTTGAGCCATCTTTTGTAGTATAACCACTGCCAGTAATCCTGTGGCTAGATGAGCTTGCTGGCATTTAGGGCAGCTCTGCAAACTATGGGCATTGAGGCTGGACAACACGGGTACAGACAGCACGTTGGTTTGGTCCTGTTCACAGTGCAAATGGGATGTGCTCACCCATCCTGTCCTGAGCACCAGTTATAGATACAGCTGCAGCTGTTACACTTGTTGCATGAAATGTGTCTAGAAAGTATCTCAGGACTTCCTTAATTATTTGCCAAGACCTTGCACTGAAGTCCATGCCTTAAAAAGGAGTGGCCTTTCTCAAACACGTTTACTGTTTTCAAAGAAGTGTCATGAGAAGGGGAAAAAAAGCCAGAGACTTCAGTCTTTCTACAATCAATCAAGATAATGATTTTAAAGTCTTTTCTTAGGCTTGGTCTTGAGTCTTTAAGTGGTCACAGTTTCTTTTGGGAGAGACCTGGAAAACCTTGGTTACAGAAATACAGGCAAAATACAGCAATTTTAAAACAGATTTAAGCTTTTTGCTTAAAATACCATGTTTCCATGAGCATAAAGCCTCTGAAAGAGAAATGCTACAGAAAATATTACACAACCAAAGCAAAGTGTCAGCTTTAAACAGTGACACTTTGAGAGACAACCGCGCACAGCTGGACGGAGACCCTTCCATCCTGTGTTCCACTCTGATGCTTTAGAAAAGCATCAGTAAAAAGTGCAAAAAATGCCACTTGAGATCAGTGACCACCATCATTCAAAAAATAGGGAAGCCTCCATTCAGATCCCTACCGTTAGCAAGTTCCTACTGTTAAGCATCCTGTTCCGTAGACAAATGCATCTCAAAAGTACCGACCTCCCAGGAAATGCTGTACACAGTCTGCTCCTTATAAAACAAACAGCTACAGTAGAATCCCCAGAGTATGGGATGGGATGGCCAATTCTCTCACTTTTCTTTTTGCTCCAGACAACAAGGATGTAAAAGATGGATCACATTGGGAACACCACCAAAAGCTTTTAAAGAACATTTTTAAAGGCTTAAAGGTAAGCACACACATGCCAAATAAAATGCACCCTCCTTTATTTGGAGACACTAATTTTTGCCTGCAGTGCTTTGTAAGAGTTTCCTCTAAAATAAGCTGGTGAATGAATGGACAGATTTTAAATTTTATTGCTTAGAAGTCATCACATGTTAAAATATCTGTAAAGTAACAAATCCAATTTTCAGCATAAGTAGTTAAGATTTGGGGTCATTTTGTTGTTGTTTGATTTGCCCTCAAAAATAACTTACTACATTCTGACCATCTCTATGAAATGAACAGCTAATAAATCTGGATGCTATTCATGCTATTTCCGAGCCTCACATTGCACCAGTTTCCATGCTTATACAGCCTTTTGGTGTGCAGATATAAGGCAAAGATATCATCCCATAGCACAGAGTCTAAAATCCTCTGAACCTTGTGCTTGTTTTCTAGTTCTGATTTCCCTGTTAAAACTTTCAGGAGAGATCATGAGACAGAAAAAACTTGGATATTTATTAATACATATATTTGAAAGATTATTTTCTTAATGTAACAAATATAAAAAGTTATCAGTGTTTACAAATTGTCAAAAATGTCCAAAGTACAAAAAGATACAGTACATTATTACGTGGAAGTGATTGTACTTTCTGGCACTGGAATCGGCTTAATACTGTGGGCATGCACAATAGACACCAGAAAACTCATGCATCAATCAGAACAAATAAAGAAACAGGACAACTACTGCTTTCTCTGATCACAAATTCATTGCTTCTGTTAGTTTCCGCTCCTCAGGAATACCATTTACCTGTAAATAGACAAGAATTCTTAGAATCCATCAATGGCAGACGATGCTTTAACAATAAAGAATCAACCAGCAGCACAGCATGGAGGTACTGTTTATTCATCCCGGGAATAGATGGTTTAACTGGGAATACATCTTTCTACTTCAGACCTCACATTTCACTGGGAGGTGGCAAAACTCCACATGGAAAACACTGAGGAGGCAGCACAGGCACTACTGAATCTTTTGCATTATAGGAATATCTTACACCTTTGTTCACCTAACCTTGGGATAGCCCTCACTGATCTTGCCAATCTACAAGAGAAATAATTATAAAAATACAAATTTACCTTTGTGTATTGGAGGTCAGTAGCAGTTTTCAGTAGTGTCATAGACATTACATACAGTTCCTTCCCAGTTGTGCATTAACTTTGTGAAACAGCTGAACATTACACCAGCTGTGAAGTCTAGTGGCTGCATTTTACATATGGTTAAAAAAAACTTTGTTTCTTTTGGAGCTTTGAATGGCTTCTGAAGAGGATATTGCTATTATACACCCCCTGCTCCTCAAATCAAATACTGTGATTCAAGTTTTAAAAATAGAAATATCCTTAGTCATGGTGGTGAACATATGATTACAGTTCTGAGCACAGCACTGAGAATTCTCCATAGGAAAGGAAGAAAAACAAACCACGAGTGTTAAGTTTACTGTTTCTTTGGCCTTAAGCATTGTAGGTCCCTACATTTCTTACTTGAGCAGACCAACAAAATGGATTGCTAAGTTTGTACCAGTGCTACTCAGAATTTTAGGAGAGCCTGAGTTTTCCATTCAGCCTGACATTCTGACCACCTGAAAGTCTGCCTGGGACTCTTCTGTTCAGGAGGAGCAAACTGACTGCAACCAAAATTAAGTACTTCAGAAAATACAGGCATAGGAGGACTTTTTTATGGCATTTCTTAAGTGCAACTTGCAACTGACTAACCCGTGCTAACTTACAGTTCAGACCTTTTGTCAAATTTCTCTCTGCCATCAACATACATGGTGTGCTACCATGAGATTTCGCTTGTTTTTACTGCAAGACAGACTGACGTTCTTATAGGAGAACTGTCATGAAGGAGCAGCTGATATTTGTAATGTTTTTTTTTTTTTTTCTGCCCTCTAAGCACCTGCAGTAGTGAGTGTTCAGAACTATGCTAACTTTCAGCCCAAACCAGTGCTGGAGGATACAGGTGGATACTTTCAGGGTCGTCCACCATTTCCAGTGTACGTCTAATAAAGCACACAAATGGCAAAGACAGTAACACAGCATTAAGGTTGGATTTGTTTGGTTTTTGTTTTCTTTTCTTTGTTTTTGTAGCTGTTTCTAATTCTCAGATTAAAAAAAAAAGAACAAAGTGCAAAAGCATCTTTTATATACTTGCCTCAAATCTTTGAAATGTTGTCATACGAAATTCTCCTTCAATCCCCGAAAGCAGTAATGAAGAAGAAGGATTTGAATGAAAACAAAGAGTAGCTTATGTAGCCCCTAACTTAGCATAAATCTTCCAGTCAGAGCTGTAGCTCCCGCATTATATTCTGTATATACGTATTTACAATTTTTCCTAAATACCTCTTTGAATATTGAAAATCTCTACTCTGGGCTCTACATTTTCCTTATGTCATCCTTATGGCCTTTCCCGTGTGGAAGACTGCATCCTTCCAGTACCCGAAGGGAGTGTATAAACAGGAGGGGGAAAGACTGTTTATGTGGGTTGATAGTGATAGGATAAGGGGGAATGATTTTAAACTGAGACAGGGGAGGTTTAGGTCAGATAGTAGGAGGAAGTTTTTCCACACAGAGGGTGGTGATGCACTGGAACAGGTTGCCCAAGGAGGCTGTGGATGCCCCATCCCTGCAGGCATTCAAGGCCAGGCTGGATGTGGCTCTGGGCAGCCTGGTCTGGTGGTTGGCGACCCTGCACACAGCAGGGGGGTTGGAAATAGATGATCTTTGAGGTCCTTTCCAACCCAGGCCATTCTATGATTCTACGATCCTTCTCAGCACTGACACAGTAGCTAAAATGAGCAGTCAGCCTTAATCACAGCCTCAGTCAGTACACACTGTGAGTTGACTAAAAGGAGTGAGAGTGCAGACTAAAACACTGGAGACCAGCAGCACAAATAGCATCTCTCAACAGATTCCCTACTACCAACTGTTCATGCTTAGTAACAGCAATAAAAAGCTCCTTCTTCAGTGCTTAACTAGTATTAGTAGCAATGAGAAATTTTGATTTTGTATTGAGTTTTAGGGAAACTGAAAAATGTTTGGGAATCTAGCTGTAATTTGCTGTTGTAATAGAAAATGATTTATGTGAGGAGGTTTCTATCTTAGCAGTACCTAATTCCAGTGTTTAAAATTGAGTCCTGATACAGCACTTCTACTTGTTCAACCAATGCCATCTCAAAATTTTCACTGAAGAATCTAAGAATGTCTGGAATTACAATGCTATAATAATTATATTAAAAAATGTTTTCCACTGACTGTAGGTGTTTTGATCGCCCACTGATCATTTCATAGTCACAGTGCTTTTCTTTAGTACTGACCTGCACTCTGCTGCTGTGGAATCTGAGTTTGATGTGGCAGGTTCCTACAAGACACAATTGAATATCTTTAATTCTTCCGCACCAAGTCTGAAGTATGTTATGCATAAAACTTCAGTAGGTCAATTTAAAAGTTGTGGTGTTTTGCTTACAAAGCAGTAATCAATTTTTTGCTTCACGAATACAGATGTGAAGCTGTCACCCGAGTCAATAGAAAGAAGAGTGAATGAGTTTTAAGGGGTAGTTCCTATGATTTTATAAAGCTACTGGGCTCATAGGCTCAAACTTGGTGAAAGGCCAAATATAACAAGAGGTTTCTGATGTTATGCAAAGTTCTGTTTCCAGAAGTGATAATTACGGAAGAGGTGACAGTCTTTGCCAATTAATTATTGACTGCAGAATGAACAAACATTCACTGTTTGTGAAGTAGACAAGTTCACTTATTGAGGCAGAGTTAGATTCTGTGCCTGCTTAAGTGTCTGGGACCAGATATTAAGGTGGCTTTTGCAGAAAGGAATGAGGGGCTGGAATGCAGACAAAGTGGATAGGAACAGTATGTGCAACTGCAGAAAGCCTTTAGCTCCGGGACCCTACTTATAAAAACACTTATCCATAGGGTTGACTTTCTTTGGAATTAATCAATTGAGTATAGGCAAATATACACAAAGTTTTACCATGTCATCATCTGAAGTGTATCAAGTACAGAAGGGAAAAACCATCTGGAAATATAATTTTGGCCCTGTATGATTTGTTAAACTTGTCTGTATCTATATCTTCTTAAACTTGTTTCTTTTACCTTCTACTGTGCAGTAACAGGGTAGAACACTTCACAGTTAAGGGATAAGTTAAGATAAAGCTATGCTTTCTGGAGATTTTTTGGGAGTAGAATTTAGCTTAGGAACAAGGAGAAGAAAATACTTAGTGCATATCTACATTATAAAGGGAACACATGGTGACCAAGTGTGTGTATTAGGGCCAAGTTGGCGCTGGCACCGGACCGGTATCGTGAGTGTCTTGCCATTCCCACTCATACACACCCATGAGATGAGCAGCTCCCAACCTGACTTACTGTCTTTCCAGGCACTGAGTGACAATACCAGTCATCTCCAAGTCTCAGCTCCATACACCTCAGTCAAACCCCTCCAGCAGATGTCTTTTCTGCAGTACCTACTTGGCAATTGGTAAACGTGCAGAGCACTAGATGACTCTGTCTCAATAGTTTAAGTTTTGAATTGAGGAATGGAATTTCTATCTTGGCAACAATGAAAATGGCTGAGCATTCTGAACATTTTCATTTTTAAGTCTCTATACATTACCTCTGTAAAGGAAAACTCCCTTCTGTTCCATGTTAACACTTCAAACACAAACCACGAGTGACAGGTACATGACTAAGTACTTACAAAGACTGGATCTTACGGGGCTGATGTTACTTTTTATACCAGAACTCCTAAGAGTCAGGGTTTCTAAAATGGAACAGTCTCAATTGCTTCCTCTGTCAAAAGTAGGTATTCTCCAAAATATGAAGGAATGTGACTGTTCCCCATGAAGCCTCTTGCCAAGTTTGCAGCCTGAAAATCCACTCATTTTATCACAGGCCTTAATTTCTGTTTGAATTGCAAACATCAGAGCAATCTTGAACTACCGAGCCATGCACCCCCATAATAAACACATTTCAAATGACAAGCACTGCAATAGTTAAATTATGTAACAGAATAAGTTTTTTTTTTTTTTAATGGAAACACTTACTGCTGTGTTTGCATCAGTGGCATACTAGTATTGTCGTAGTTGTCTGGGTGAAGGGGTGGCACGATCTCACCAGTAACTGGGTGGAACACTGGCAGTGTTGAGAGAGGCCAAGCTATCTCTCTGTTTTTAGACATGTCACGGAGCTCTTTGGTCGATTTCTGTATAGCACTATGGTGGACCAACTGGATGCTACGTCAAAAGGAGATATAACAGTGAATACATGTTTTAAGTGCTCTGTCTAAATGCATAGATTTTTACAACTATTATTTAAAAAAAAAATCTGAGGACTGATGCATGTTGCAGACTCAGTAGTTCACCAACTACAAGAAATCTCTACACAGGTAATTGAATGAATATTGCATATATTTAATCTTGAAGGCAGTAATTATGCCACTAGATTTTGCTGTCTGGATGAGTATTTTGCATAGGATCCACAACTGTGCAATTTACTTCTAGTATTCCATTTATTTGCTGCATTTAAAATAAGTTTTGGTAACTCCTGATCCTCATGGTAGGTACATAAAAACTCATGGAGAATTAATTCTAAAACATTCTATGCTGTAGCAATTGGACACCTTCTGGGATACTCCTCCTGTCCCCTGCTTTAAAGATACAGACTGGGAGGTCTGATAATCAGGAGAATTAGGTTGGTCCCCTCCAACCTAAGCCATTCTATGACTCTATGAATAAATTATATTTTAAGATATTTATTTTAAGAGAACTAGTTTATTTTGAGTTCATAGTTGTTATTTTCAAACCCTTTTTATTCTGATTCTTCTACCCTCACCAAGGCTCTGATTTAAAAGCAGCTTTCACATTTATGAATTCAACCATGGGTTAGAGAGAATGACAGAAGATTATGACACACATGTATGAAGCGTGACAAGCTACTGAGAATGAAAATTAAATGATAAAAGAAAAATAACAGGAAAGAAGACACTTACTCTGGTGTTTGCATGTTTCTCTTTTCCCTAAAAACAAAACAAAATTTATGAATTAAATAATAGCATTGATAGTTGGAACATTAAGTCTATCTGATGATGGAAATAGTACGTGGTACAGAAATGCTGACAACGTTACTGCTAAACGCAACTTGGCAGCATTTGCAGCTGGGTTTATGATGTGGCCTCGGTGAACGCACGTGTGGGGATGCTCTGATGACAGACACATACAGACACACACACACGGAGAAATGGAAATGCAAGTTAAAGAACAAGCTTCTGGCTAAAATAAATTCTGTGACAAAATGAAACTGTAGTTTGTGTAAGAAATGGCAGGAGTTACGCTACTTGCTGCTTTCCGTTTAGGTTTTGCTCTTAGATATTTAATTCAGTGCACATCCTCAACCCGTTTTTAAAAAATTAGCATTTTAGAAATTACTTAATATTTTCCTGAACCAGTGATCCTTTATTAGTATTTTATTTGCTTGGGGGAGATAAATTTCATGTTTATGTGGAGATTTTTAACCCTTTCAACTCGAACATTTAGAGTCCCTATACGCATTGCTAGGAAAAAATCACTGTATGTATTTAGCTAGCTCGGTTATTTCAGAACAGATGTCTTTTGGCCTGTGCTATTTTTTTTTTATTTTTAATGAACTGAATGGAATCCTTCTAATAAATAGTCTCCTATGCATTTTAACCTTAGAAAAACCTGAAACTTCTTATTAGCGCATGAAAGTACTCACACTCCTTCCCGTCGGCAGCACATGATATAGGCAAGAATTAGAAAGAGCACCAGTGCTACTGCCGAGGGCACCGCCAGTGTCATTAGGAAATCCGAGTAATAGTCTCTGCTTTTCAGCGTGTCAGAAGGCGGCTTGTACTCCCCGCCATCAGGCAGTATCCCCTCTCCACGAATCACTTCCTGAAAGGTGGAAACTTGCTTTGTATTGTCAACCTGACAACCAGGGAAAAGGAAAAAAAAAAAAAAAGAAAGAAAGAAAAAGACAATTATATCACAAAGGAAAAGAAGGTAAAACCAAGAAGTACTTAATCGACAAGCACACAGAATGGAACCTGTGTTGCACAACATTTATCAAATTTGATAAAATTTTGTCCATTTTTAAACAATAAATCCCTCCTTCATTTTGTCAAAAGTTTCTGATAGAGATGATTTCAAAATATTATTTTATTATAGCATTACTTTATTTTCCTTACAGCAATACTGATTTCTGTGTGATGAATACATTAATTTCTTACTCATCTTCCTAAATAACAATACTGCCCTCTGTTGTACAAAGGTGGTAGAGATGAAGAGTACCTCTCCTCTTGATGTCCTATTGAGCTTCATATAGAATCACCAAGGTTGGAAAAAGATTTTCAGGATCACCCAGTCCAAGTGTCCACCTGTCACTAACAGCTCTCACTAAACCATGTTCCTCAGTACAATATCTAAACGTTTATTAAATACCTGCAGGGTCTGTGACTCCACCACCTCCCTGGGCAGCCACTCCACTTGTTTCTGGACATGTAGCACCCAGAACTGCAAGAAGCAGTAGCTGAGCTGCTGAGGGCCGAGCAGCTTTATGCCACCCCTCCCACCTGCCACAGGAGGCATGGGGTGCTCCCGAGATGAGCATTTTGTTTAACAAACCCAGACTCCCCAGGTTTTCTTACCTCCTCATTCAACTAACTTCCAGAAGGCTGCATTCCTTGCCACGTGCTTTTCTCTTTTAACATCCGTATCTAAAGTTCCGAAAATACAAGCTTTTTGGTAGCCAAATTTCATACTGCATTTAACTGATGGCCTTTCCCATAATCTCTATGTTTTTACTCTTATTATTTTCATCTACCTAATTGAAAATAAACTGTATTTGCCTACCCGCTTGTTCTGCCTGTTTGTGAGAAACCTTGCAATTGATGGGCATGCCTTCATAATTTGTAATTTAATTCACAAGAGGGCGCATTAAAACCTGTGTGGGGAATGAAAAGGTTTTCAGGTAACACTAGAAGGAAAGTATTTTTAAAGTGCAAGACTCTCCATTCATTAACGTTCTGCAGAATATTTTACACTAGGTACATCAGTTCCACCTGTCTGCTTAGTAGAACCTCCAGACTAGGCAGCTGCAGTAAAACCATTTATGCAGCTAGTGATGTGAGAGGCAGATGTCCAAGCAAGAAATGAGAACAAACTATCAGGCAGCAGTGTTACGAGGAAGAAAATATTGTTGTCCATCTTTTCAGAATTTGGGTCCCATTAACTCCTTGATGTAGGTGTTAATTGCCCAAGTCAGCTCATACAGTGGGAGGAAGAGGATGCAGTGGTTCTATTTTCACTCACTGGCCAAGGTTATGGTTATGGTTATGGGAGATGGAGCTCAACTTTCCCAATCCACAGATCTTGGAGGACTTTCTGCCCCTTGTCTTTCCTCAGGAAAAGCAGACTATGATCAGAGGAAGGCTTGGTTCTATTTCCTCTTTGAGGCACCATGTTGTAGACTGCATAAACAATGCTAATGGCAACAGCAAAGACTGTCTAAATTCAGTTATTAGGGTATGCTGCCAAAGCAAGTGCCAAGTGCCAAATTTAAGAAGGTCATGTAATTAACTGCTGTAGAAAATTATGCTTCTCATAGGGAGTCCATCCATTTTACACATCCAAGGTGACCTCTGCCTTTCTCAAGACAGCAGGACAATGTTGCTTCATGATTAGTTTATGAGCCATCGCTACTGTCACACCTTTCTCCTGGAGAAGTAGTCCTAAACACTTGCTCTTCATTCTGCACTTGCAGAACTGATTATTTGTGCATTACTGTATTATTCCTCTACTTCTCTTTTTGAAAAGAACTTCACTATTGTTTCCAAGGCTATTTCTCCACTGTCTCATGGCCTTCCTGAATTCTACCTGGTCCTTCCATGCCCATGCAGTTTCTTTCAATTTCATGGGGCCTGCAAGCCTAATTTAATAAGCACATTCCATCATCCATTGTATTAATGGAGAATGGCAGGGAATTATTAGTAATTCTGCTGCAATTATGGCTATCCAACCAGTTCTCCACTAAGTCCATAATAGTTTCATTTAGGCCATGTTTCCTCAGCTTACTTATAGGATAGTATCAAAAAAGATTATCAAAAAGAAATGTCATCTTCTGTTGCACCTGTGTTCTACTTCTGTCTTGTAAAAGGAAATAAAAAACTTGACATAGTTTGCTCCTGTTAAAGGCTGATTGCCTTCTATTTTTCAGGTGTTGCCAAAGTATTTTTGTGTACACATACCTTCTGCAATTTCCCAATAGAAAGCCAATAAGTAATTTGGATATTCTTTTGAAAACAAGTGTCATTTTCCAGCTTTCAATCAGCTTTCCTAATCCACATATATGGAAGTGTTGGAGGGTATCTAATGAACTTTGTGAGTCAATAACATTTCTCATCCTCAACAGTTCTTGTTTATATTGTACAAAATCCTTCCGTATCTCCTTTTCACTTTCCTCTTGATATGTCTGAATACCTGATTAATATCTGAATGTTGCTCACCAATTATTCAATTTTATAATATGTATCTTCACCATCTTTGTTCAGACTTATCTACAAAGTCACCTTTGGATACTGGATCAGTTCTTGATCTTCCTTACCAAAATTAAGTAAAAATAACTTATACAAATAAAAGTAAAAAATACTTTTTGTAGATTATAATCCTTGAATGGAAAATAAACCTGTTTTCAGTCACTGTTCTTGTATTCATCTGACCATAAGAAGAGAGTTCCTGTTGTTTTGATTTCTTTAGTGAAGACTATTCTCTATTTCGAATCTTTTTAACATGAAATAAGTTTAAACAATTTGGAAAGGTATTTTGACAGCACAGAAATACTGTTTAACTACTCGGTGCTGTAGACTCAATATTAGAAAAAAAAAAAGTAGCAATACATCTTTATATACTTTGTAGGAAAGCAAGTGTAACTAGCAGTATTAGCACACTGAATTAATGAACTGTCTAAATAATTCTCATTACTTTATGCTCTGTAAGTCTATAATTCTTTGGTCATCTATATAAATCAGTATTAGCTAAAACAAATATGGTGGTTTCACTGTTGCTGTATTCTAACAGAATTCTGCCCACAGAGCAAAATCTTTTCACAACATCAAGAGTGGCTGCTAAATGGGAAAAAAAATCAATCAGTCACAATTAAGTGGAATTCAGCACGGTGGTCTGGCCAGGCTGGTAAAATTCTTACCTAGATGATGTCTAGAATGAAATACTGTACTTCAACAAATATCATTTGTATGCAATAATAAAACAACTCACCAGAGAGATTTTACACCAATCAATATGGAATTGAGTACGAAACTTTTTGTCGCACGTTATTGAAGGCTCCATTTCTTGACTGCATCTCAGTTGATTCTGTGGGTTTTCCACTTCCCGTAAGCATGATGAGAATGGAACATCTGCACCAACCATAACATACACACTGCAGAAAGAGATGAGTGACAGACTGAGGATACCTCAAAACACAGAATGCAAAACAAGGACTCTGAATCCACAATCTTGTCTGCACATAGCTTGGATTTAGATGTACCAATCCTTTCTTATATATTATTTCACCAAAAATATCTTTTAATAAATAACAATATATACCAAAAGAAACCTTTGATTTTGCCAGAGAAAAGCGCTGCCACAATCAGTATTTTGGAAAGACTGAATTATTTTATAAATGAAATATCATATTTCAGAACAGAACGTATGGTTATGAATCACATCTGGAAATACTGCATTCCGCAGTTCACAATCAAGTATCTAAACTCCTCAGATACCTCAGGCTTATACCTTTCATCTGTCCAATGTTCCCGAAGCACATAATTAGGGATCATGAATTTCAGTAAGAAAGACTAGAGCTACACATGACACTGTTAAACACTAAATGCTCATGGAATGGCTTAGGTCGGAGGGGACCTTAAAGACCTTCTAGTTCCAACCCCCTGCCATGGGCAGGGTTGCCAGCTACTAGATCAGGGTGCCACGGGTCCCATCCAACCTGACCTTGATTGCCCCCAGAAATGAGGCATCTAAAACCTCTCTGGCAAACTGCTCCAGTGCCTCACCAGCTGTAAGCAAAAAATTTCTTCCTAACATCTAACCTATATCTACCCTCTTTCAGTTTAAAGCCACTTCCCTATCAGAAATTGGAGTGACTTTGTATCCTAGACTCCATACCATTCTGTTTCAAAAATTTTAATTTTGTAAACTGGAAAGCATTAAACACTCAAAAACCATACTAAACAATTTCTCAATATTAATATTAGAATTTCAAAATCATTATATTTACTACTATTTTGTAACTAACAGAATTTATTGTTGGACTGGTATTTTTGTTATTGGACTGTGAAAATTGATGGATAGGAACTGTTATTTGTAAATAGCACAATAAATCCATGGTATAATGGGGGCTTGGAACATCAGTAAACTTTTCATATCTAACACCAACCTGGATTTCCAAAATATAAAACAGCAATTTCAAAGTTTCTAGAGAACCTGAATAAAATACTAAGCCTTTCAGTACGAAAAGAAAAGTAAAGCAAATCTACCAGACTGATACGTGTGCTTACCCCTCCTTCATGTCATTAATAGGAAGTGGAACTCTCCCTCCCCTGTCTAGTGCTGAAGTAATGTTTATAGCATTCAAACGTTCTGGCTGCCATACATTTTTCACTGCTCCAAGAAAGTCTCCAAGAACTTCACTTGCTAACATCTCTTCTACATTCATATTCCTTATGAAGAATTCCGCTTGATATGGTAATGGAAAATCTAGTTGCAATGAAGAAGAAAGAGTTTGGCCTTAAAACAGTGACTTCATAACAAATAATTTAAAGCAACAGTTAGTGCAATACCCCTTTAAGATGGATAAGCCTTTCCAAAAATCTTGTATTTAAAGTACCCCACTTTGAGCCTAAAATGATTACATTTGATTAAATTATTACTGAAGCTAAAATCATGAGTAATTTATGAAGTTACCCTGAGAGGGAAGAGGGAACTAGAGGGACAGATTCTCAGCTCCTGAAATTTCATTAAATGAAGTTACATTCGTGCTAACATTGAGATCAAAATTGTCACCTTGCTACCAGAAAATCTGAATGCACAGTTTCAACTGCAGGATTGCTGTAGAAAGTTCTGCTGTGCTGAAATATTTTATATTATGAAATTTGTTCTTTTAAAAAACATAAAATACTTTCAAGTACCATAAGATGGTTTTACCTGACAGATAGAAATTAAAAAAAAAAATTAATCAAAAGAGGAAAACCTGTCTTACATCTCATTTGTTTGGTTTACATCTCCTATATTTGGTTTCAAGTCCAGACAACTATACACTGTTCTTTATATTAAAAGAACCAGGGTCCAAAAGTTTTTTGATTATTCAGTTCAAACCTCAACAAGCTACTTTCTGTACATACCTTCTGCTGACATTATATTAATGATCAAATTATGTCTTGCTGTCTCAAAAGTACGCCTGTTATATGCAGTGATCTAGAATAAAAAAGAAATGATTACAAAATGATGATGGAAATGCAAAGATTAGGTAAAGGAAAGAGTGAAAATGAGCAACTTAAAAATACTTATCTTCAAAATGCTTTTTTTTCCTGTTTGATACAGTTTAAGTCAGGACACCAGAATTTTCTCTATCAGTCTATAAACAAATACAGTTATCTATGGGATATATCCAAATATAATATATTTTGATCCAGATAAAAGTTTTCTGCCATACACATATGTTCTTTCCTGTTAACTTTGATGTAGAAAGAGCCATAAGCAAAGATGGGTTTCTTCATTTTCCACTCCAACCCACACCCCCAGTACTGAGATCTACATTCATTGATCTAAACTAACTAGATATATGAGTAAAAGATTATTGGGAGCCAAGCAATTGCAGTCTTTGGGAATGGATTTAATTTTAGCTCTAGTCCTAGTGAGTTTTTACTCCGTGAATGGATTCATAAGCATTCTAACACAAGTAGTTTCGAAAATATACTGGAATTTGTTACTGTAGAAGAACTGAAAACTAGCAGATAGATGCAACTCTCATGCCTTTTATTTTTAAAAACATAGGTACCCATTACCTAATTGCACAAGGATACCAATCTTGTATTTTAAATATATGGGGTGCCTGAAATGCTCACAAGTGTCAAACAGAGTACTTAATGGTTACTTCATAACTATTCAGAAACTGAACTACAATCATGCACTCATTCATAACAAATACAGAACGAGCTTGGATGCCACTACTACTATTTTCTCTACTTTTTTATTTCTTGAAAGGTAATAAATCTTTCACAAAATAAATAAAACAAACCTTTCTCTTTAGATTCACAATTCAGTTTGTTTTTCTGAAAGGGGAGAGGTAGAGCAAATCTCTGGTTGTACAAAATCCACATATCAAAAGGAATACAGCCATTTTCAGTCTGCACTTCAGCAATGACTGATGCTAGTCTCTATAGCTCTGGCTAATAAGCAGCAATGGTGGAAACTGCCCCTGTGCTCAGAATCCATTCAAATAAAACTGTCATTACACAGCTTTCAAAGGAGCTAATCTCTTTTGTTAACCATTCTAAACATGATGTCAGGCCCTTCTAATTACGAGGTCTTGTCCAACTGATTTACCTACCCATGACATCACCTCAGGCATTATGGCATAGCAAAAGTTAAGATTCAGGCCAAGAATATGCAACTGCTTTTCTCAGATTCTCAGATGGTAGTAGGAAGCTTTTCTACTAGAAGTAGAAAAAATGCAACCTGCTCTCATCTCACAGTATGGAATTAATTCAAAGCCACATGTAAACATAGGTTCACAATGAAGTAATTTGTATGCTAGGCAAGACTGAGTTCAGATATAGGCTTGTGCTCATTCGTCCAGTGTAGTCTTGATTTAGACTCTCAAATGTAAAAGCACAAGCCATTTTAAAAAGGACAATTTTAAATAATGGTTTCCTCTAGAGAAAGCTAACTGGAGTCTGCAAGTACTTTCGCACATGACTAATTTTGCAGATGTGATTAGTCATGCTGAAATCAAAAGTGAATTAAGCGTGAGTAAAATTATCTGCCATACAACTTAACTTTTAGAGTTGTCATTCTCGAGGATGACAACTATATCAAACACAATTTAGAGAAAAAAATCTCATCAAAGGCTTAAGACAAAAGTACAGCTGAAGAAGCAAAATGGCTGAAGCGAGTTAATTAGCAGATTTTCCTTGATGCTGTGAACTGCATGGTGTCTCACTCATTCTATGATGTACATGACAAAGTATAGCAAATATATATATATTTTTCCCTTTCAATTGCTGCTCAGTGAATAATCGATGCTTTTAAACATTTGGATAGTTGACTGTCAAAAACAAAGTAGGGGGTTCTGTCATTGCCACAACTTTAAGAACCAAATTAGATACATGAAACTGCGAATTAAAATAAAATCTGTCAATAAATACGAATAACGAGCCAGAGAATATTTGATGAAAAATAATCTAATTTTTAAAAAAATTAAAACCTGTTTATTGATTGAACACAATATTTCCCAGTCTGGCCCATATTTAGGTTAGAATGCTACAAAGTTCAGAACTCAAATATCTGAAGAAGTACAGTCATTTATAAGTTGTTTTTGTTTTGTTTTCAAAAACCAAGAGGCAATACCTGTTGACAAACAAGAAAATACCTCAATGATGGTTGGTTTGCCCACATTTTCTACAGTTGGTGAACCATACAGCACTCCATCGCTGTATGGTGTCCTTTGTATGTAGCGGAGCCATCCAGGTCGGTCAGGGTAACCCATTAAGTTGGTATTAAATGTTATAGGATCATTGCTTATTTCACCTAGATAGGAAAAGCAATATTAGAATATTTATAACAAAACGTTACATGCATTTATTTTGATGTTTCAATTAGAAAAATCTTATTCTGACTTCCAGCTATGTCTTCCAAACACATCCAAAGAGAGAAAAAAAATTACCAATTTTTAATACATCAGAAATATTTGGTTTCTTGCTCAATATTTGTAACTACCAAGAAATTCATATCTAAAAAATATAACCAGCTGCAAAGATGAACGTTCTTGTACTTCCTAGACTTTCAGCTTTCTCAGAGCTACTGGGTCTGATTTTTCAGTTCCACTTAGGATCAAATCATCTAACCTCCCTACTGACAAAAGCACAAAGGTCTCAGTCCTTTAACTCCCAAACATTTTCCTCTGTACTCAGCACTGGTGAGGCAACACCCTGAGTGCTGTGTTCAGATTTGGGCCCCTCACTACCAGAAAGACATTGAGGTCCTGGAGTTTGTGCAGAGAAGGTGGGAGTCAGCCTCTTTTCCCATGAAACTAGTGGTAAAAAAAACTACAGGGAATGGCTTCAAGTCACGCCAGGGGAGATTCAGGCAAGACAATAGGAAAAACAACTCCGAAAGAGCGGTCAGGCACTGCAGTGAGCTGCCCAGGGAGGTACAGATGGAGGCGGAGTCACCATCCCTGGAGGTGTTCAAGAAAGTTTAGATGCTGTACTGAGGGACATGGTTGAACGGGAAATATTCATTATAGGTGGATGGTGGTACTGGATGATCTTAGAGATCTTTTCCAACCTCGGTGATTCTATGAAAAAGGTTTCTTAGTTACTTTTTCTTATTTATTTTACTTTAACAATGACTCCAGGGACACAATGTGCATGAAAGGGCTTAGCACAAAGTGCAGCCATGTAACCGTCGATGCTTGAAAGCTTCTGTTATCTAGACATAAAAACCTCCAGCACAAAGAGCTTGACAGAAGATTTTTTTTTAAGATAAGTTAATTCAAAAAGAAGAGACATGTTTGCAAAATGCATCCACATAGCCGCCCATAGTCCAGATGCAATCTCTGAGACCCCCTGAAATCAAACTGCAAGAGCAATTCTTGTGTTTCCTACTGGTACTCTTCCAAATGGCTGGTGTAACCACTTATTTTACCTTGTGCAGATGAAGTCAGCCATGGCTGAGGCCCTACAGACCCTCAGCGGCACAGAGCCAACCAGACCCATTCTGCACCTATTCACACACGTGCACTGAAGCCCTGAAGCTCAGCCAAGAGGTGGCAGCTGCAGTGATGGTGACATCTGAAGGTGACAGCAGGCTGCCACTGAGGGAAGAAAATGAGCCCACTGAAGGAAGGAGAACTATCATCTCCACCTGAGGAACACATACAAAGAGCTGCCAAATGGTGACTAGCTTTCAGGCCAGCTTTCCCACATCAGGCTGTGGGTAAGAGGACCAGAACAGTAGGATCACCACACTAACCCACCACCAAGGTGCAATGCGACCTTCCTCTCAACTCCCTTGGGATGCCACAGTGATCTATTGCCATAGAAGTTCCAGCACCACAAATGATTTGGGGAATAAAATCTCAAAAGCACTGGTGATACATTCCGGTTTGCCACTGTCATATCAGTGGCACAGCACAGCCTTGCAAGTGGCAGATATAAATATGGAGACTGTGCAAGCAGAGTAGGCTTTGGTCTTACAGGCAGTTTTTGATATGATCACAGTCTGTCTGCTGGTCAGAAATTTCAAACTATCTGAACTCAAACTAATGCTGCAGGTGAATGGTGCAGACTGGGGCTGTGGGGATTTCAAGGACAATCCATCAACCCATAACCAGTAAATACTCAATCTTTTTCTCCTTTTTTTTTTTTTTTAATATAGGAGTAGAGCATGTGTTTGTACTACATTTAAAAAAAAAGTAATAATAATAATTTAAAAACCTATGCATATATTCATTCCCTTTCATTAATGTAGGATGAGGTTCTCTCTTTCTCTTTTCCCCTCCTAAGCTTGTTCATTCATATTCTGCCCTGCCATTGATCAATCCTTTGGCTTTAACTTAGATGAGTGTCAAAACAACATACACGGGAAATAAGAGCTCTCTCTCTACAAGCTAACTGCCTAATAACATTAAACTCTGCCTAAATATAGAACTCAGTTTGAATTCAAAAAAAGGTTTTGTTTTCAATGAAAAAAAATATCATTGCACAGCCTCATGTTTATTTTCGTCTTCTGTCTCAAGGTAACTAAATACTTGGAAATGCCCCTTCGTCAAGCTCCTTCATATTACTTCTGGAAGACTGATCAAATAGAAGGCATTTTCATCAAATGATTATTACCCTTCCACCAATTCATACTTCATGGGAAAGCAAAGAAAACGTATCCTTCTTAACCTCTGATATACAGCGTATGTTGTTATGGCTTTTCAAATTAAGTACATTTTTCAGAACATGGGTACGTGCATCATTTCACAATTGATAACAAAACAGAAAATATTTGAAGATATCTCAATAGAAACAAAAACTATCCTTTGCACATTATACACTTCACTGCAACACATGTTAAATATATTTAAATCTTTAAAACATTTTTCTCAACATTTTCACATAATATGGAAGATCTTAGCATCCCATACCAGGCTTTGGGTAAGGAGGAAATTCCCCCTTAAAGTACTCTCTCTCCAAAACATGAACAAAAAGAACTCCAGCAGAAGGGTATACATTCCGATCAGAGTGCACCTTAGACAGAATCGTGTACACTGAAAAGCAGAAGGAAAGAGAAGAGACAGAACAAAGCAAAAATGAGACATGCTCTAGATCATACCGCATGCACTTCAATAGCAACGTGGGCATCTGGGAAAAGGAAAGCAACAAATATTAGATACCTGTTAATAAGTTTTTTAAAAGGTTGCATGGATTTAAGAACAGAATGCAGAGCAAACTCTCTTTCCCCCACAAGATCCCTTCCGAAGTTGCAAAAAGCAAAACTGGCTGCATTAGCATTTTGTAAGTAACACAATTTACTTATTTTTATTACAAGGAAAAAAATGGAGGGAGCCCACTGTAATTTTTATACTTGGTTTATTTGCAATATTACACAAATAAAAGCACGTTAAACAAGCGATACAATCACATTTCCTTAATGTTTCACAATATAAGTAAGGAATATGAGGAATTCAGAGGAATCTTACCAATAAATGGCACAGATTCCTCACTAAACAAAAATAGCAGATTTTTCAGTACTAGGGCAGAAAAGAGCAAAGCAATTCACTTCAGGTAAGGATTTATACAAGTCCTTACAGCTAGATTTTCTTGCACCAGTAGGGTCAAATATCCTACATATAAACATTTGCTTAGAGAGCTCGAACCTGAAGATGTTAAGCTTGTATTGAAAATGACATTGGTAATTATGGGTCAGTCAGGTGACACCGACTGCAAATAAACAAACAAAAACCACTAAAGCCACATCTTTTAGGATTTAAAGCTAAAAAACTGAAGGAAACTCGTTTTAGAACAATATGTTTTTGTGCAATTACAAACTTGGATGATGAAAGTGTATCTTCTTAGGTATGTTTTAATGAACTAGAAATGACACATTAAATTAAACGTATAAAATGCACTTGATTGGCAAGTTTCAATTTCAAGGATAGGTGGAGAATATTGATCTAATAGATGTCTCATGGGATCTTAACAGGACTGACTCTTGGTCATATTACTATTCCATATTATTATTCAAGTCACTGACCTGCAAGAATCAATCACTGTGATAAACTTTGTACATTAAATGAGGATTACACAAGTGGTAAATAAAGATAAGCCACAGATACAGAGATACGCAGTGCCTGCCTTGCTTGCTAATTGAAAGAAACTTTAGGAGAAGTTACATCTGGAGGCCATGCTGCATGGCAATACTGTATTATGGAAGAGTGATCCTCAAAGAGATTTTGGAGTTGTCAAAACAAACTCATAAGAAACTCATAGCTCCTAGTAGATGAAAGAGTCAATTTCAATGCTCGGATTAATGAGCAAGAAATACCAGAAGTTTGTATCAAGCTCAATTTTCTAAACCTGCTAAAATTTCCTCAGACTCATCATTATACTGATCTTCTTGTTTGAGATCTACTTAAAAGAAACACTACTGATTAGGAATTAATCACAGATATTCCACCCCTCGTACCACGTACTCCTTGTGGAATCTATCTCACCTAATTTTAGATGCCTACAGAAACAACAACCACCACTGAGTCAGCCAGGCTCCTTTTATAGTCAAGTAAAGAGAAACAGACGGGTTGATTAATTTGATTTCTCCTGTAAAATGAGATGAATCATGTCCTAGATTCCTCACTGTTCTCTCTAGATCTCCACTCGTTACAGCCAAGAGGAGAGCAAACGTCTGAACTGTAGAGCTCTACGTTTAGTTGTGTACATCCCAATCTTCTCAGGCTCATATTCAGAATTAAATAGTCTCAACCTCTTGATACACCATCGATCAAATTCCACAGCTAGAAAATTTCCATTAAACATCCCTGCCTCAGTAAGACACCATAAATAATGAATTCTCTTCTAAGGATTGATGACAGGATCTTTTTACTGTTAGGAAGTGTTAGATGCCTGGCTTGAAGTAAGAACCAGCTATTTTCTTACTAATTTATACAAAACTGGTTGGAAAATTATCAGCCGTACTCATGATCCCTTGTTTATCTGTGTAATGATCTGCTTATTGGAGTTGTCCTTTCTCAGTTTTAGAAGTTCCTTTTGACACAGTACTGAATAGAATTGGCAGTAAGATTTTATCTTAAAGAAAATAATTAAATTAGACCTTGGAGTTTAAATTTAGTTCATAATAATTTTTTGGTTAATAAACCAGTTATTGTAATTTTAGTTACGTAGACTTAAGTACAAAGTTTTGATTTGCAAAATTAAAGTAAGTTAATGATCCCAAACACTTCTGCATTTGCTTCTGTGAATAAGCCATAAATAGAGAAAGAAAACTTTAAATGCCTTCAAAATACCTTCAAGAAAAGCTGGAAGGGTGCCTATGACATTAACGAGATTCTTCACAGAGCAGAAAAGTTGAGGAAAATACAGTGGCTGGTTGAAAATGTGATAAATCTCAAAAAAATATATTTATCTTTTTTTCCAATTATGGTTTGTGGACTCTACAGTGAAGATCAGTTCCAAACAGAAAGAACAGAGAAAAAACAATGTAGATCTTCTCCATAAATCATAGTTTTAGAAAGGAATGAAGTTAATAGTACCATACGTTATAGAAGTTGCCAATCTAAACAATCTTTTTCTTATATCTGATAAGAAATCTACTGCCACACTAAACACTCACTTATCCCTAGCAATGAGTCATTCTCTCCTACTAAGGTAAGCACGCTACTAAGGATTTTCACTAAGATCACTGATGTAGGCATGAAAATAATGCTTCTTCAAAGGAAAAAAAAAATACATCTTACAATGACAGATACAGTGTAATGACAACTCTGGAGGTTAAGAATTACAAAGTTCTTGCCCTTGTTGTCTGTCAATAAAGTTCACCTTTTTTTCCCCAGAAAACTTCCTTCAGAATCAGAAGGGACCTGATGTGTCTTCAGCTTTCCAATAATGAAACACGTGGAATGCTATTTTCTCCAGAGGCTTTTTAGAACCCACAATTAATTTCATAAGATTGCCTGAGACTAAAGAGGGATGTGTAATCTTCCTAAGTGGTCCAGGGATGAAGCTGAACACACAAAGCAATCTCTAGATATCTCATACAGCAACTGCCAAGCGTGTGTTGGCTGGGCAAATTCTGGGGATTCTGAAACATTTCAATAAAACTACCGAGGAGAAATCAAAATTTTTTACTACATGGGATCACAACAAAACATACATCATTTTCTTTGAACCACATAGAGTAACTGCCACAGCTGTCCTTCTTGTAGAGATGTTGAGCACGGGCACAGCCAGGGATTCAGTTAGGACTGTATCAATCTCCAGTCCAGAAGCTGTTAACAGCCACACAGCAGAGCTTGTACATCAGATACAGATGCCTCTAACCCACAGAAATTTCAGAAGATTCACCATGTTTGTTAGAGTCTGTATATTGATGATTTTCAGGGAAAAAAAAAACGAAAATAACCACACACTTTCTCTGTAAATTTCATTGAGCTCTTTCCCCTATTGCCTTTTAGCAGAAATCCTATAAATACCTTGATTTAGGGGCAATTTAGACTGCCTATCTGGATGAGAAGTTAATGCAATGACAACTTTCTCAACTAGTGTACCATAGCTACAATCATTCTATGTATACTTTCACAAATGACAATAAAATAGTCTTTTTAGGTGTGTATAAACAGGGATTCTTTTTAATCATTTGAGAAAAGTTACTGTATTAAGCAAACTGCAGAGATATTTCTAAGCAAACAGCAGCAATAAGAAAATATGCAATATTAGGTTGTGTACACACAGCCATTATTTCAAGCAAAGCTATAGCTGCAATAGGAAAAGTTGGGGAGAAGTCACATAGACAGGTCTGCAAACGCTTAAAAGATTGAAGAAATGCAAAATCTTCCAAATTACTTACCTTGAAATAGCACCTTATTCCTAAAACAAGGACATGACTGAAAAAGCAAGAGTAATATTAAAAGCATATTTGACTGAACCAACATGGGGTTTAAATTTATGACCTAAACTCACCATTCTTCTCAACAGCCTTTATTCTGCTGATAATATAACTGTTGGCTTGCTTAGTCTTCCAGTTAACAGTTCCATTACTGCCATCAGCAGAGCTTAACAAAAAAGCTTTTCAGAATAAAACAAATGAAAAAAAAATAAATTAGTCAAATCAACAGACTTCCAGAAATTACATGTCAGATGGGATCAGATGCCTTCTCAACCTGGTTTTGTATTTAGTCAGACCTTTTGAATCTCAGGTAAGAAAATGCTGGTGTTTGACATGAATATTTATCAGTATATGATATTATTCCTGATGATCACATTTTGACATTCATTCTTCAAGTAAGTGCAGTAAGTCTGCACTAAATGCTTAAGCATCTGTAGACCCTTCTGCTGACATAATTATACTGGTAAGAAATAAAATGAGGCACTGTGATAAATATATTTGCATTGGTAAAATCTCATATGCAGACAAAAAAACATGCTAAAAGTTACTTTCGCTAGCATAATATATTAGTACCAAAATAGGGAAAGTAACATAACCAAGAACACAGCTTTTTTTATATGAAGACACCAGCACGTGGGGCTGAACATCTTGCCTTGCAGCATAACCAATAATCAACACAGAAAAGAACCAGTCAAAAAGTAGTTCTCTTCATCCTGCACAGCCAGAGAACTGCCTGAAATGTTTCAATCAGAACAGCTGAGGGCACAAGGTTTAAATGTGGTGAGGAGCAAAGCATAAAGGAGAGTGAAAGCAGCTGGAGAGCTTTTTTTTTGTCAGCTGTAGAGCTCCGCTTCAGCTGTAGCAGAACCACCTGAAGAAGCTCCTTCTTCACCTCCAGCTTTTTGTTCTTTTGTTCCCCATCCTCTGTGATGAATGATGCATCAGCTGTTTGTATAGTTACGTGCCAACTGAAAGTGCAGATAAAGGGAACTGCAAGTGAGATGCTAGGAAGGGGAGAATGGCCATAATAAATAGTGTTTCTTTTGACATACTTCAGAGAATACAAATAGCAGCCAGAAGTTGTTATCAGACTAACATCTTAACTTGTGTATAAAAATAGCTGTGTCAGAAACAAGTAGCAGTACTTTGTCTCAGATACATCTTTGTTGACAAACATGCATTCTAAATATGCAACTATCATTTATACTAGAAGCTTAAAATCTGTGGAAACTTCTGCTGGCATAGCTACACTGGCCAGCTATTCCCTTCCTGACACTGCATCGGATTTAGGAGGTCAAGAGACCTTCAAGCAGCAGCCAAGATACACAAACACTGAATCTATGCACCTGGCTGAGACATTTATTAATGCTAATTTACCCCAAATACCTAAACTTCATTGAGGTTAAAATAAAAGGGCAACAAAACCCCCTATGTACTGAAAGAACCATACCAGTACAGTAATGTTTCTAAATTCTGAATTCATTAAGTTTTTTATATTTTCAATATACACAAATGATCCAGTTTAGTAAAAAAAAAAAGCATTATTCACATCCGATGTTTTGCATCTGCCTCACAGGACAGTTTCTCCCTGCTGAATTGAACCATCTACCATGGACTGTCTTAAGATAACAGTCTTACAGGTTGTCCCACTCACTGCTTCGCACGACCTTTAGTGCAAGTTTTTAGTAATATTAAGAACGCTCAAGAAATTAAAAATAAAAAAAAAAAAAAAGGAAAACTAAAGTTGTTCCAGTATTCCAAATGGATGAATGAGGAAATTAGAGTGTTTTCAGCTACACACCAATCCCAAGCAAAACAATTAACACCAGGTTTGATTAACAAAGAATGAAATGGAGAAGAGTACTAATCACAAACAGGGGTTTAATGCATTTTTTCAAACTGATTCTTTTGATGAGCCCACAGATTTGTCTGATAAAGACAGCAATATTGACATATCACTCCTGGACATGCTGCACATCACCCAGCACTGCAAGAAACCAAATGCAAAATCAGTTGGGCAACTTTAAGCATAATAAGAATAATAAAAAAGACAGGTTCCAAGATGCATTTCTAACTAGAAGTGTTCACTATTTTTGACATGCCCACAAGTTTCCTATCTTCAGCAGTGGGCATCAGCAGTCCATATGGGAGCTGGAAAAGTATGTCTGTTAATCAGATGCCATACTTTACAGTGCAATGTTTTAATATAAATATATATATATATCACCATCTATTTGATTTTAAATGGAAGGTGTGAAATGGGACATACTGCCCATTCGACAGTTTTCACCATAAGGCACAGCAATCTCCAGCAAAAGAACTGCTCTGATGGATAATTCATTTGTTATATCAAATTTCTGTTGCGTCTCACAATGTTTTGTGAGACACTGGTCTTATGCTACTGGAATGTTTAATCATATGTATATGACCTGAATATATGTATATACTGCTATGACTGGCAGATAAAAGCAAAGGCAGAGAGTTTAATAAGTACTGGAAATGGCAAGCCACCACACAGAACACTGAGCTGTTTGGTAGGTTTAAGGTGGTTGCTGATGTGCTCTTCAATAGCATAAAAAGCAAATGCATGGCCAGGAACAAAGAACGCACGCCATCCTTACGTTACAGAGCATGCAATTCAAGGATCCTGAACTCCGATGACAGAAACTAGGGAGATGTGGCAGGTAATGACAGAAGCTGGTTGAACAGGAGCTTTCAGTACAACACTGCTTAGAACAGCTAATGCATAAACAAGTGCATCAAGGAGTAGCAGAGAGATTTTCTTGTTGTGTTTGACACAGATACAATCACTGTTCAAACGCTGTGTCTGGCATTTACATGGAGCCTTCAAGCAGCACACTGACAATGTGAAGAAAGCTCAGGGAAGATCTGTGAATGTGATTAAAGGACAACAAAAGAAGCCTTATACTAAAGAGTGCAGGGGTTCATGCTCATTTTTATCAAAGAGAAATCCTAGAGATAAAGTGATCAGCTTTCTTCTCAGAGTGAGTGCAAGGTTAATGGTGTCAGGCTCTTCAGTTTGCCACGCGTTACCAGCTGCCAAGGCACGCACAGGAGCAAGTGACAGCTCTGGGCACGGGACTTGATCTACAGGGCCCTTCTTTTTAAATTATATTTGCATAGGTCTTACATGAAGGTTTTAAATATGAATATTTAACAGCAGAATGTTAACTAGAGAAGATATCCCCAACAAGGTCTGCCCACATCACAATCTGAAGAGGGGCTGACCACCACAGACCAATTCACCTTCTCCACTGCTGTACTGCCCTCTAACATTTGCCCACCATTCTGCACTACTCCCTGCCCTCCTTACTGCTTCCTTAGCAAGGATCTCTTCTCAATCTCTCCCATTACTAACGCAGCACACAGCTTCACTTCTCAAAACCCTGCATTTCCCCCCTCTCCCATAGTCCAATTCCTATAAACATTCCTATAATTATCTGTATTCAATAGGTAATGGTTATCTGTTTCTGTTCCATTCATTCATGATGGTAACATATGCACATTTCAAGATCTTGAGAATCCTACCTCACTTCTTGGTTCTCTCTAACTTCCCATCTTCATGGCTTAGATAGCCACTAAAAATAATCTACATTATAAAGACATTTTGATTGTTTGTGTTTCAATTGTAACAACATTTAGGCAGAGTCTCTACTATTTAGCTGGAAGGAAATGTCAAATGTAGCTACAGTCATGAGCCGATGGACATGGAAAGTTGCCCTATTTTTACCAGTGTTATTATTAAATATTATAATTAAACAGTTACCAGACCTGAGTTCCTTCTTCACTTCTAAGACAGCAGTGTGATAGGATATTGGTTATTCAGCAATGAAAGCGTGTTCATCCCAAGACATTATGTTAATTTATCAATATCTACTTCAGAAGAATCCAAAAGTAGTAGCAAACTATATATCTTGTCTTCTTCAGAAATTTGTTCTTCTCAGTTTGATTGTTAACTACCTCTCTTCCAAAGAGAGGGTTTTATTGTGGTGACTAATGTCTGAAGTTCTGTAAGGAACTCTTAACCAAGTATAAATACATCATGAACAAAAATAGGCCTTTCTTTACATACTATAATTTACAACTAGAAGATAAATTCCTAACCTCTTGCAGTCTGGCTTTAGGATCTCTAAGACATCTCCTAAACCGTACTACCCATAAATAATGACCTTCTGTAATGAAAAGCGTACTAATGGAATGACTCTTCCCTTCTGCAATTATTTATCCAAGCAAGTACTTCCTGACAATAGATTTGATTTATAGATCTGCTCCAGACCAGTACAAAGATTTAACAGGCATCATCATCACTAGCTGGTACTCAGAGCCCTATATGAGGCAGAAATCCTCATATATTGTCCTTATGGTACAGGGATTCACTCCTGAACCCTTGTCTCGATAGCCTGTGACTTCATAGTTGTTTCAAACTAGCATTTTCTAACAGCCTTGCTGAAGGAGGGGAATCCCAGCTCAACCTCGGCCACACAGCACACCAGTGCAAACAACCCCATAATGATCCTGAACAGTAAACAGATTACTGACAACAATTTTTGCTTGTGTGTGGACTAGTTCTCAGCCAGATGACCCTATTCAGTGGCACTGTACAAGTGATTTAGTGCCCAGAAGGGAAGTACTGGAACACATGAACTATGGAAGGGCAGGAAAGTATTTTCTGGCAGCTTCATGCCAAATGAATGTCACTACATAATCACAGCTTTTGAAGTGAGAACTAATAAGCTCCTTCTTTATTTTGACCACCTTCATAGGGAAGGAGCAATATGACTCAGTTGCTCTACTGATCCCCATTACTGGCTGAAAACAGAGATTCCAGGATCACCAGGGGCACCTACAACTAATCCTTCAGTCAAGAAATGCAAGGTAACTGCAAAATGGTCATACTCACTCAACTTTTTGATGACCACTCATTCTTTACAAGCAGAGAATGGGGACAATTCACAGGCCTGACAAACTCTAGTATGGCAGAGCAGCTGTAGTTTTCTCACATAAACTTCTACCATGTCTTTTATTGTGACAGTAAAGAACAACTGTCTAATTTGTATTAGAAAAGCTTAACCTTAACTGTCACTTACAGCAATGTCAAGACCCATTTTTCCTAGCACTGGAGATTATCATCAGCTATTGCTTGAGAGTCAGTTCCTTCAGTTTGAGTGCAATACTTGGGATCAAATGTGGGACTCTGAAATTGCTCTTTAAATTCCTGACGTCTCTTAAGTCCCTGAATTTTGAGTTAATGTTCTACGGGGGAAGGAAGAAGTCAAGACAGAGTGACCAACAACCTGGACTTCTGGCATCAAATCACCTCCTTCAAAAAACTTGCAAGTATATATTTCATAGATCTTCAACAAGCACAAAAAACATAAGCCAGGTTTTTTCCGTGGTCAAGTGCTACAAGAGAAACAGGAAAACCTGATCTCTATTAGTAAAAGAAAGCTCAAATCTAATCACAAGCCTTATGGTTCCTCCCATGTTCAGTTTTTGTCATGTTTTGTGAAGTGTATTTTTGCCCCTAAGCAGTGCTGCAGTACTGCAGCATCTACTAAAGAACAGAAGTGAAGAGGAAGGATTTTTATGCAGGGCTGTGGCTTTTCTCGAGGCCAGCGATCCTGGTTGGACATTCTCCCATACTGTCATAGCTGAGATGTCAGGTTCTGGGAAAGCTGGGAGATGGGTTCAGCTGGAGGGCTGACATTGGAGAGGTATGATGAAAACAATGTTACTTTTTTTGCTTACAGGAGAAAAGAAAAAAAAAAAAAAAATCAAGCTAGCACTTGGGTTATATCATTTGAACTGCAAGAGTCTGTGCAGGAGTTGAATTCAGTACAAAGACATTGCAAAATTCTATTCTGATGAATGTTATAAATGTTATATAGGTATCACTGACAAAAACTTCATACTGTTCACATTTCCTTTTTTGTATTACTCTCAAGCAATTTATTCTGCTGTTTGAACTTAAGAAAGTCTGAAGTGGAAAAGTTCACCCTAAAGAAGTCCTCAAAACTTCTTCCTTTACTGGAGAGCCTGGATTAAGCTCACAACTCAGCTTCAAGAAGCTCATCTCGGTACAGCCTTTTTAGACTTAGTATCTTAGCTGACAGAGAGTTCACCTTAGGACTGCTATAGTTTTTCCCTTGTTGCTATGCCACAGCTGCGCTCTGTAGAGGGAGACAGGAGAGGCAGGACGAATTTCCACATTAGGAGAAAGCAGTGTCTTGCAGTACCTTCTACCCAACAGACTCAGAGTTTTATCCTGGCACAGACCAGCTAACGTTTAGGTGCTCATTGCATCTGTGCTGTCACCAGCGCCTCATGACACACCTGCTGCCAGTACCCTGTGACAAGTACAGTCACACACGTAAGGTATTCCATGTTTATTCAAACGTTACCCAAGAAGATATTGAGCTAACTGTTGTTGTTCAGATGATACGCCACCAATCCCTCACATCACAAAACAACCTGCAGAAATAAACTTAAATCTAGCAGCAGATTTTGCTGCCCTGGCAGAACAGCAGAGCCCCGCCGGCACTGCTGGCTGCGGGTGAGCAGGAACGGCTAGAAGTCTTTCACTCTGCGGAACCCTGCGGGTGCGAGACCGGAGCGTTACGTGACAGCGGCTATTTACACGATAAGGGAGCGAGAGGAAAACCTCCACGGCCCCGGTCCCGCACGGCTGCACTAAGCGCTCGGGCCGGCAAATAGCTCCGACGGGCGGGGCGGGACGGGACGCGGAAGGCCGCTCTGTGCGCGGGGCAGCAGGGGGCCGAGCGCCCGTCCCAGCGCGAGGAGGCAGCGGCCCCGCTCCCGGCACGGAGCCGCCCGACCGCACAGCGCCTCCGCGCCGGGGCCCGGCCCTTCGCGGGCACCGCCGAGCCCCCCCGGCCTCGGCAGCGGCGGGGCGGGCGGGCCGCCCTCGGGGCGAACCGTAGCCGCGCCGACCCGCGGGGAAAGGAGGCCGACGGAGCCGGAGCCGCCGCGCATTCCAGCCGGCCCGCGCCCCCTCTCCGCGCTGAGCCGCCGCCGTGACCGACCTGTCAGCAGCAGCGTGGTCAGCGCGCCCCCGCCGCGCGGCCCGGGCCCCGCGCAGCACCGCATCGCCGCCCGCTCCTCCGCCTGCTGCTGCTGCTGCCGCCACCGCCGCCGCATCCTCCGCCCGCCGCCGCCTCGCCCCGCGGCCGCAGCATCCTCCCGCCCCGCCCCGCCCGTCTCCAGGCAGCGCGGCGGCCCCGCGGGGCATGCCGGGAAGAGCCGCACACCGCCCCCGGGCCCGCCGCCATCTTGCGTGGGGGTGGGGCAACGCGGGGTCAGCTGCAGGTGCCGATGTGGTGCCAACGAAGTCTCGCATACGTTAAGGTTCCTATCGCAGATTTACTTGCAAGCCCAGTGTGTGTTGGTTGTTTGTTTCTTGTTTTTTTTTTTCTTTAAACGTTCAGCAGCTGCACCGCCACCTAGCAGAGTGCTGGAGGGGGCAGTTGGAGACGCGTTCCGGGGTTGTGGTGTGAGTGGAGTTCACTGCTCCGCAGTGCTGCTGTCTCACAGAGTGAAGGATGTGGAAGGACGCAGTCGGTTCGCCATGTCAGGCCTGGTTATTCCGGGCTGCACGAGGGCTGTGTGTACTTTCTGGAATAGCTGCTGGTTCCTGACTGCTGTTTGTGTTGCAGCCCAAAAGGGATGACAATATTCACACCTTTGTGGAAGCAAACGTTCCTGTGTAGGAGCTACATGCTTCAGCTTCCTATATTGTATATGCAGTGTAGTTCCTGTAGCAAAACTGCATAGAGAAGTAGAACAGTGTCTGGTTTTATGTAATATTTAGTAAGCTTGATTAACTTACTATTTAAACTTGCAGTACCTTAGGGCAATTAGGCACAGGAAAGTAGTGTTTTTTTGGCATATCAAATGTTTTATAAACTTTTTCCTGCATATGTTAGCACAAGAGCCCTTTTAAAAAGGGACAAGATGGTTAGTCTTCTATATCTATGCGGATAGCACTCCTTTGTTGTGCATAGAGAATTCTGATTTCATGGAATTCTGTAAGTCTAAATGTCTTTGCAATAATAACAATATGTTCTTGAGGTTTGGTAATGAGAGAGAAAATCTGGCTTACTCAAAATACATTTGGACCTACTGAGCACTTTAGAAGCAGAGGAATAAAAGACAAGTGTAGAAGACTTCACCCTGTCTGATTTTAATCTTGCTACAGCTCCACATTTCCTATAATCCTTCTCAAGAAGGGGAGTCCTTATAGTTAGAGGCTCTTTGGTATACAAATTCTGCCTGACATAGAGGTACAAAATGCTCTGGCATCCTAATCCGCCAACTCACTGTCCCAAATAAAGGTTTTTTTGGTTCTCTTTCCAGTGAGACTTTCTTTCAGAATGTATTCACATTTTTTATTTGACTACACACATATTTATGAGCAGAAATTACACTCTTTCATTGAGCACTGTCTAAAAGTACTCTTCTGTTTCATGGTACTTTATATTCAAGTAGGCTTACTTCCACTCACCTGTTCATGTGATTTTTTTATTCCTTTCCCTATGGCATTGTACAAAACCACACAGGTGCAGCTGTGCCATAACCACATCAGATAGCAAGCTCATCCAACAATAATTTTGCTGCTAGTAAAAGATCTGATTTTTGTAAACACACTTGTGCTGCCATCACCTTACTGATTACCATTTTCCTTACAAGTCATGTAATATTGAGGTGTTTTTCCTACCGATGCTATAAAACTGTCACCATCAAGGTTTTTCATGCAGTAGCAGCAGTTCATTGATCTGCCAGTCTGCAAGAAAGAAGACTACACTTATCTGAAATGTGTTTATGGGATACACAGCCCAAGAAGAAGTGGTTAAATGCCATCAATCCGTAAGAAAATGCAGCCAGAGCCTGCCTTGGCCTGTTGCTTCCTTCACTGGAGCCCTTGGGTGTGGATGCTTATGTAGGTATTCTTTGTTAGTCATGTCTTGAGGCTGCCACTTCTAAGTGTAGAGCACAGACTTCCTTTGGCTTATCTGAGAAACTTTGGGTAATGCTGTGTGTGCTTTAAGAGTTCCATCCTTACTCACATTCATAACACAAAGCGATGTGATCAAAACAACTTGTTTATGTCTGCCACTGATGACTTGATACTGGTGGAAAATACTCCCTTTGGAAGTATTTCTTTCTCCTAGTACCAAAATTGAAAGGCGGGCTGTTACAGAAGTGGATGGAAACGAATGCAGTGTTGGGACATTTTTACGGAAATTGGTTCATCTTCCAAATATAGAACATTTCTTTTGGCAAGTAGAAAAGCTGGCTTTAACACTGTCCCTGATACTTTTTAGGTAAAACTTTTAAATTCAAGAATACAAAGACCTCATTTTTTTAGTGGACGCAGTAGTCATACTTACTGTTTCCTCATGCGTTCTGCAGCTTTGATTCAGAGGTTTATTTTCTTCTTCAGGCACAGTTGACAGTCAACTTCATGCAGAAAGAATGCAACCAGATCCATTTGCTTCTTTGTCTCTTTGAACATGGGTGCTTGTAGCTTGATCTTTAAGATACTGAACACTTGCAAGTGCTCAGTGCTGCTGGAAATCAGCCCACCTAAGGAGGAAAAAATATGGTGTATATATATATATATTTTTCTTTTTAAGGCACTCATGTAGAAATTAGTAGTTATTAGTAGTAAGATAATTAAGACTAACTGCAATTCTTGTTCCTGTTCACCATTTCTGAGGAGTCTGTAACAACACTTTTCATTACTTTTCCAAGTGCTCGTATTTCTTTCATACTCATGTCTTTCTAGCAATGACTGGAAGCATTTTGGCATGTTAATGTCACAATTTGTGATTGCAGTGAAGTGCTAATTGTTATGCAAAGTTTAATTACATTTGATATGCCAATATGTTACTAGAAACTATTTACAGCAGAAAAATCTTTAAAAATTAAGCTTTTAAGAGTTTTAGTATTATGTGAAATACACCCACAACAGAATCTTATGAATACAAAGCCCATTATTCAAAATTATCTTCCCAAGTTGAACAGAAATAGACTTTTGGACTCTGTTTTTAGCTGGAATTTGGAACTCTGGTTTTCCTGGAATTTGAAATGAGTAAAAGGAGCACAAAAGACTGAATTATGTAATGTAATAGTTCTCACTATAATTTGGCATCTGTCTTGGAAAATACTGTGTGTTTGGAGAAAGAACATTGCATATGCCCAAATATGGAAGTGATAAACAAAGACAATAATGAAAAAAAAAGGACTTGGAAGAGAACGGACACTCTCTCTAAGTTAAAACAACTCACAGGCGACTGAGTTTGCTGAACTAGCACTTGTAGAGCCTGCAGCCCTGCATGCCAATGACTTCTACTTTGTTACAGAAATTACAATGTCATGTTTCTGAATAGTTTTTGTGGCTTTTCAAACACTCTGCTCCACCTGAAATACTGGTTCCTGTCAGCAGCGTAGAAGAACTGTCACTCTCTTTACTAGCACAAATGGCCCATGTTTGCCCACCTCTCCCTCTGCCACAGGACAGCAGCAAGTATGAAACAGTATTGAAATGTTCTCACTGAGGAGAGGTTTCTATTTCAAACGTAACTATGACAGGGTACTCACCAATAGCTCATACTTTAGTGTAAAAGAAAAAGCTACAGGCCCTGATTTCTGTCCTGCAGTTTTCCTCTGGTAAAAACTTCAAGGGAGTACATTGGTTCAAAGAATTAATATCTGAGTAAGATAACATAAAAGTAGCTATACAAACAGTAAGTTTTATGTTTTCTCTCCTTGCTCTGTGTTGATTATGTTTTGTAGAATGTAATGGGAAATAATTACTAAATACATATACTGGAGGAAAAAATAGTACAGAACCATTTTCTGAATTTATAAAAAGTTCTGTAATACTCAGACTAGTTGGCTATTTAGTCCAGCATTAAGTGCCTCAATATTTTCCTCCTCTTTCTGTGAGCTCTGCTATTCTTAAACCTCCAGTTCTTAAATTTGGCTCAATTTCTTTTAAGTTCTCCAAGATAATTTAGTGTGATGACTAAATTAGTTAAAAATTCTGAAGTGATTCTTCATTGTTCATTAAGCTGTAAGTTATCCTCAAAGATTTCTCATTTCAGCCTTTCTTGCATTTCATATCAAGGAAAGCCTCCCACATCTGAGTGGGTGTCTCTTCAAAAGCATACGTGGAATACAATTATCAGAGTAAATGGCTGAAAAGTGAGAACTTCTAACTCCTGTTAATATATGGCTGCCTAAAGCTATGCAGCTTTTATGGATAATTTAACTAAGAGTCCTCTGTACTTCAGAGGTCCTGCTTGTAGGAATAACAGACTACTTACAGTTTGAATTAACCTTTATTTGTGTCTATTTGTTTCAGCAGAGCACGTGCCCTGGAGTGCAGCTGCATGATGATACACTCCCTGGATGTATGGAGTTATCACAAAAGGAATTATGAGAGAAACAATGACTTATATTGGCACAGTAGAAAATGCAAGCAGGGTAAGTGAGTAGATCCTCATCTCTGTCTCCGGCAACAGAATTTTTCTGATTTTTCTATGCATTTATCTCCAGACTGTCAAATTCACCCAATAACCTGGAGTGTTGTGTCCAGTCCTGGGCTCCCCAGTTCAAGACAGACAGGGAACTGCTGGAGAGAGTCCAGCTGAGGGCCAAGATGATGATGAGGGGGCTGAAGCATTTCCCTTATGAGGAAAGGCTGAGAGACCTGGAACTGTTCAGCCTGGAGAAGACGAGACTGGGGGGAGATCTCATCAGTGCTTATAAATATCTACAGGGCAGGTGTCAATGGAGGGGGCTGGGCTCTTTTCAGTGGTACTCAGGGACAGGACAATGGACAATGGGCACAAATTGGAGCACAGGAAGTTCCATGTGAACAGAGGAAGAACTTTGCTTTGTGGATGATAGAGCACTGGAACAGGCTGCCCAGAGAGGTTATGGCATCTCCTCCTCTGGAGACATTCAAAACCCACCTGAATGCTTTGCTGCATAACATACCATAGGGAACCCGCTTAGCAGGGGGTTGGGCTGGATTAACCCCCAGATTCCAATCTGTATAATTCCATGATTCTATAATCTATTACAAAATTTGGTGGAAAGGATTGACATCATCCTAGAACCAAGTTTTGTAACATTTGTAACTTAGCACCTCTGAAATGTGATCTAGACTTATGTTTCATGTTCTTTTTAAAGGCTTCATGTGCATTGACATACATGAGATTTGTGTATCTGAGCTGAAATCCTTTATTTTCTTTGATGCAATAAATCAATGCTTCGTTGGAGAGGTAGTTTTCATGTTGAGATAGAGTCTGTGAACAAACTGGGGGGTGGAGAACACCTGTCAAGAATCTTGCAGGTTCCAAAACTTGGGTCTTAGTGTTGTGTTGGCTGGAGTATGCAACTACAGATCCAGCTTTGTTATGAATTCTCAATCCAAATATGTGGAAATGAGAACAACGCTGAAAAAGGTATCATTCCTTATATTAGGAGAGTAAATACCCAGAGCTTAGGGCAGAAACTTTGAAGAAAGAAATTTAATCATACATTCCAGATGATGAATAGCAGAGTCTGTTGGATTTGTACCTGGACTAAGTTCTTGCCAAGAGTGTGGGAGTTGCAGAAACACTCAAAGGAACAGAGAAAAAAAGCTTGTGACAGATGTGAGTGTTATGGGCAGATTTGAGAAAATGGTTTGATGAAAAATCAAATGTTTGCAGCCTGAAGGTATGAAATTTGAAAGAGACGATAGGAAGAAGGGCCAGGGTTTTCAAGGAACAAAGAATAAGTTTTCTTTTTGTTCCAGAACAAGCTTTGCTTGGAGGAACAATGAAATACGTGTATATTTTCTTTAAAATAACTGTGACATGCTTTCCAGTGTTTTTGCATCAGATTACCTTACGTGGATAGAGCCAGATTGAACATGGAAGTTTAAGGCAAGCAGTTAAGAAAGACTAAACGAATAAAAAGCATGTCAGAGTATAACAGTAGGGTTTGCAGCAATGACAGTGTGAAGGCTGAAAGAGAGGAATGCAGCTGTAGTTCCAGGATTGCTGGATGTGGGTCTGTCTAAACTGAGATCCAAAGGCGTGCCTTATTTAAACATATCTGAACTAGCTTTGATTAGCATGAAGTTCAAATTAAGGATCTTAGACTAGTTTTGTATTTGGTATAGATATGTCTTCATGAAATGTGTATGCATTGCAAGCAGCAAACATTGAAATTTGGTCCCTAGAGAGTAAGTACCAAAGGAGACAGATGTGTTTACTTTAAAGGAGAAATGCGGGATAGAAACAAGATAGTGTTAGGTGACTCTGCTGTTTAGCTCCCATGTCTTCAAATATCAAGTGCTTATATCTTTTTGCAAGTAAGTCATATTTTGTTAGGAGAAGCTTATCCTGTATTGCTGCGTTGAGGTATTGTCTGACTAGCAAGGTAAATATTTTGCAGGTGCCAAATATGTCAGTTTAGGAAGTATCATAATTTATGAGGGGAAAAATGTAACATGAATAGCTGCTGGAATATAGAGTTTCAGCTGGAGAAGTGGAGGGCCAGGCAGGTGAAGGAATGTGATCAAAGAAACTGGAAATGAATTTGGGAAGGAATGGCCTACAGAGGTCTTGTCCTTCACAATACTCAATTTACTTCAATAGGAATTGAGAACCGAGCACCCTGGAAAATTAGATAATTTCAATTTTGGGAGCCAGAACGTAGAAGAATTAAGGGCACTTTTTTTTTTCTGATTTGTACTTATCAAATCTTCGGCAGGTTTGCTTTCTCTAGGTAAAGCTTTCATAGCTGCTGATGATAACTTGTATGAGCACTAGATTGGCTAACATAGACAAATCGATATATTATTGCAGTATATATTATTGCTGTATACTGTAGTGAATGAGGGCATGACCATGTGAACTGAGCTTGCTGTCAGATCTAGGCCTGCTGTTGGAGAGCTGGAGAAGAGGTAATATGTAACACGTCCTATGATCTTCATATTCATAAGAGTTCTGTACAAATTTTGTTTTGACAAACTCTTTTCATAGCCATGTGTCTGGATCCAGTCCTCTCCTCTCTGCGAGTGTTGTTGGCTTGTTCTGCTTAAGGTCTGAAGGAGACTCAGAATTTATCTTTTCAGCTATTTCTGCAAAAGCGTAAGAAAGGTGTTTCATTACTTTCTGGGTTTGTTCCTGTAATTGTCATATGCAAATAAGCTACAGCTTCCTAGTGGGCCATTGATTTTTGCCTCCATGCACATACAGAAGTTGTGGATCATGTGAACTGATATTGTAGTACATTGTCTTTCTGGATTTTTAATGCAAAAAGTAGAATGTTGTAAACTCTCACAACATCAGGTTAATAATATCTGACCACGAAGTGTCATTTAGTACCTTACATTCCAGGTTTCACAAGAGTTGCCACGTAGTAGTGCCAAATGAGATCTATAATAGATTCCTCAGGTTTTGATAATAATTCTTTCAGGCTTTTTCATATTGCTTTTTAATTGACTCTTACTGCCTTTTAATTCAAAGTAACCTGTAAGAGATAGTAAGCACAGCATTATTAAAGATTTTTAAGTCAAGTTGTGATCTGTTGTTTCCCCACTTTTGCATTGCTAGCAAATAAGAATTTAAAATGAGGTTGAGTTTCGTTGTTTAGGAGTAATGTTCTGCTCTGTAAAAATCTTAATCTGTGCCATTTGCACACACAAGGCATTCTATGCCAAACATAGACAATAGATATAAAGCTTCTTAATTTAACCTTACTTTGTTTTGGTTAACATTCTGAATATTTAACATGAAGGCAAAACCTTCATTTCACACAGCATCTCTGAATTGCTTTGGTGATTTAAGTCTCTCCAGTCTGGTTTCAATTTCTACTTTTAAATCTTTCCATTTCTTCTTTTCAAGTATTCAAACCTAAATCTTAATTTACACATTGAATTTTAAATCAGAAAAGTTTAAAACAACACTCCAGTTTGTGTGTATGGGGTTTTGTCCTTCTGATTCTTCTTTAACTGTACAGAAAATATATTTCTGTAAATATAGTCTGCATTCTTTGACATGTTCTGTTCCTGCAGAAATGGCTTTGCTCTTTTGTGTACACATTTGCAAAAACTCCAGAACAATATTTAGACTTCTCTGTTTTAATGTGTGCAAACTCTTGGGCTTTTTTTTTTTTTTTTTTTTCTCCACTAATCTGTGTTCATTTGAAAGGAATGCTTTTGCTTTTGCTATGTGTTTCTCTGATTTGTGGTATGGTAATGTTGTCCACTGGAGGGAAGTCAGCAGTGCAATAAAGCTTAATCTAGCTGCATTCTAGAATGGGATGAGTTCTTACAGTGTTTTCGAGTTTAAGTTTTTCTTCTGAATACCCAGCACAGGGCACGCAACACAACTAGAGTTAGCATAATAGAGTCTGAGCTGGACCACAGTGGCCACCCTTGACATGCCTGATGGGTTAGCCTTACCAACACGAGCACACCTGTAGCGTTTGAGCCTTCATAATTAATGGATCACAGGCAGAACTTGCTTGAGGATGTCTCTCCCGTAGGCAGAGGAGAGAAGCAGGAGCTGCTTCTTTTCCTGGTATAAAATGATTTGCAGACCACACTCCACCACGTCAGCCTGTCTTTCCTGACTGTGAATGACCATTGCCTCCAGGCCACTTCTAGGAGTTTGATTTTTCTCTTTCCCTTGATTGTGCACTCCCCTTCTTCCTCTCTTGTATGTGGTAACCAAGTTGTCTTTACACCTCAGCATTTCACTGGGGTCTCTCCAGCTTGTGCTGTCATCTTGAGAATAGAGAGTGTCTGTTGTTTCTTCAATGACTATCAATGTGTCTGTCATTTCTCAGTTGAAAAAAATACCACCCAGGAGCAGTACCTGTTAGCAGAAGGTGATGATAAAGGAAAAAAAATGAGTTAGGAATACTGACCACATTCCAAAATAGAGTTTTTAAACTTCCGTACAAGAACAGTATTTCCATAAGTATATTTGCTATATAATTAAGCACAGGGCAACCTTCTTTGGGGAGTTTGGATGCTGAGAGGAGGGCTATATGCCCTGAATGATAGTGAGAGGCATTAATGCACAAGTTTTGAAGATCAGTCTTATTTGTCCAGGTTTTTTCCTTTCTATGGTATTTTCTCTTTCTGTACATTCTTGTGAATACACGTGGCCATTCTGGTTATTCAGAGCTCTATAGCTCGTGTTCTTTGGTAATATTGAAGGTAGGAAGACAAAAGATGAGATGCAAAGGAGAGAGTTTGTTGGGGAAGGAAGATAATTGAGAATTGCTGAGTAGCAAATGAGAAGTGTTTGCATTTCAATTGTAGATGCCCAAAAGGAGTGAGCTAAGTGAGAAAAGCCTCAGGTACCTTCTGTATTACAAGGTAAAATGCAGCTGTGTGTTTATTTACAGTACAGAGAGTAACAGTTCTATTTATGTTAAAAGTTTTTAACCAGCTGACAGGGAATAACTTTGCCAATAAAACAATGAGCTGTACATAGCCTGCACAATATTCTGGAACTCAAAGAAAACAGTGATAGAAAAACTATTTTAGTTTTCTTCTCCAAGTTAGTAAATGAATCTTAAAAAATAAGGCTCTAAAGAGAGTAGATTCTCTGAAGCAAATCAGTCATTTCTGCAAAGCCTGGGAGTTTGTTAAGTAGTCCAGTAATGGTGTTTGTTAAAAGCTAAGCAAGAGAGTCCACAGTGTATGAAAATGGAGCAGAAAGCTATTTAGTGATGTGACCCTTATAGACTTCCACTTGTAAGGCTCCGGACGGGGAACAGAACTGAAGTATTTTAAATCCAGTCCAGTTAGAAAGGCGTTCTTTTGTAAACTGAACATATTTTCTTGCCACGAGCAGGGGAACAACCTTGCCTTCCTTGTATCTTAAAGTTGTTGGATCCTTGCCAGACTTCTAGTCATGAGGCAGTGTCATGCACACATCATTTTTTATTATTTTTTTAGTAAGGCACTACTAGCTTTATTTAAAGTTAGGATACAAGAAGATAAAGCTTTTCTTTATTCTGAATGCAAATTTATAGAAGCTAGACCACTTCAAATTCTCTATCTGAGGGAGAAATGCAAGTGTTTTCCCCTTAAGAGTGTGGCTCTGTGGCTCCATATGCATAAGTATGTAACAGACCTTGAGTTGTAAAATTATTGCCACCAGGCAAGGTAGCAGTTCAAGTCATTTGGTCATTAATTAGAGGTTTGTTTAGTTTTGGGGGGAAAGAGAGGGAGAATGTTTTTTTTTTTTTTTTTTTTTTTAAATAGGTAATGAGTTACTTGGCTTTTAGAAGGAATAAATGTATGTCTTGAGTTCATATATATCAGACAAGTTCTCAGCAAAATGTCAGAACAAAGGTAAAATCTCTGCATGAAAAAGCTTACTGTGTAGGAGGACTTTTATGCAGTAGATCAGCAGCGCTAAGCTAGAAATTGCAATAGTTAATTCTCTGTGAAGTTCTAATGTGAGCCTGTCACACCAGAAGCTGTGTGCTGAAGTTCTTCTTGCCTGGCTGAGGAATACTCAAAAAACATTTTTCTTGGGTAAAAATGTTCCTAGAAGGATGCATGTAAAATAATGGAATGTGTGGTAGTGATGTTTTTGGGAAGGAGAGTGGAAGTTTGCTGCAAGGGGTAGGAAGTGACTTTGCATCATACAAAGTCAGGTTGGTAACCAGTATCCATTGCAATTGGATATAGGATTGAAAGAACAATCAGGCATATCGGAAAGAATAAACAGAAGTGGAAATATTTGATTGCCAGGATGGATGAAGGTAGTGGGGTGACTCGTGATTTGGAAGAGGGATTGTTTGTATGGAAAGGGTTCATAGCAGCTGTGTGTGTACTTAGTAGGAATTAGAAAAAGTAACAGAGGAAGTAAGCAGTAGTTTAGGAACTTCAGAAGAAAGACAATCAGAGCTCAGACAAAGGTTTCAGCCACAGGGAGCGAGAGAAGGGACTTGCTTATTTTTTGAGAACATTCTATTGTAAAGAAGGAATCAAAAGGACTTGGTAAAATATTCAGAGTGGAGAGAATAATGACTGCAAAATGATAGACGTGTTGTTCTGACAAACACAAGGATATTGGAGCTATAAAAGCATGGAAAGTTGTTTTTGAATGAGGACAGCCGCTGTGAGGTTATAAACATTGTAAGCATTATAAACTTTGGTTGTAAGTATAGTTGAACAGAGCTAAATATTCCCACTGAAATTGCCAAACTGAAGGTCCTGGTATTTAAGTAGGTGTGACATAGTAAATTGTAGCTCATAACTGGCATTTCTACCTTTCTCCCTTGTTTATACCTTGGAGCTAGGGAGGAAGGACTTTAAATAAGCATTTAATAAAAACATTTAGCTTGTATAGGCCAAGTGCACAGCTCTTCTGAATGCAGAAAGCAAAAAGAATTTGCATAAGTGTGACAAGAAAGATGGTAGCTTGCAGTAAGAGCTCACTTACATGATCAAATTACTGTTCAGTTAATGAATGCCTGACTTTAAATGTTGATAGTGTGACTGCCACAGTATGGCTGAACTTTGTCTTACATCTTTAAATATTGGCATAGGAATATTCACAAACTGCAGTGGATTCTCTCTCTTAGATTCCACATAGACTTTTATACTTACGGAAGAAAGAAAAACGAGAAAAGTGTGTTCAGTTTTATTCAAATTGCCTACTTTGAGTTTAGCTAACTGTTCATGAGAATATTCAGCATTTTTAGCAGAGAAAAGACTTCTTTTCACCACCTCCTTTTTAATGTTAATAGCTTGAACTATGTGATTAACAGATTAACACTAAATCTTGAACTGATGTTTATGTTTGAAGGCCTGATTTTTTTTTCTCTACATTTATTTAAAAACAAATTGTATTCTTTTGTAATTAGGTACATGTTAGAATCACTAAGACTATTTAGCGAGTAAAATCATGCTTAGGTATGAGACAGAGCTGAACCTAAATCCTGCCTGCACTTTTTCCCATCCTTTTCCATCTGTTCAAAGAATAATGAAAAGGTCCAACTTTTGTTGATGATGGAATTACATTCTCACAAACTTACAAAGCAGAAAAAGCTTCAAAATGAATTCTGTCTTCTTTGGGTAACTGTGGAGATGACTACTATAATTATCTGTGAAGGAGTTTTTGCACTGTTCCTACTGAAATACAAATGTAACATAAAGTACTGAGCCCTTGATCAAGATTCTGCACACCATTGAGTGAGCAAAGTGACTCTTTCTTGGCGATCATTTACAGGTGCTTCTTTTTTTCTGAAAGAATACTAAACAGTTGTTCTCTCCCTGCATGGCTGAATTTCACAACAAAGAAACTAAACATTCTCCCTCTAAATTCCTTTTATTCAATATTAGCTGCAAACTGTGTGGCACACTGCACAGCCTTGGTCAGTTTGTTGAGGAAAAAATTCATTTTTCACACTTCTTCTGAATAGCTTAAGTTATACTGAAAAGGCAGGATGTTAATTGCTTGTCCGTGTTAAATCACTAATATCATACTGTTGGAGTTGATTATTTAATATATCAAAAATATCATACATTATTACAGAGTTGATTGTTTACTGTATCATAAATGTCATACATTATTACTTCTAACAGTCTGTTCCCTTACCCAAACATAAAATGCTAATATACTGAATCCCATGCATTTACCTAACAGAAGTACTGAAGTTATGCTAACAGTACTTTCTGAGTCCTCAACAAAATCTTAGGTTATTGTACTACTCCAATATGGCCTATATTAATAGACATTTGAATATCTTTTAGAAAAACCTAAGCCAGATCTTAAGCATGTTTATATGAAACTTGAACAGCTCAGTTGGCTTTTTGTGTTTTGCAGCAGCTTTACAGTCTGATGAGAAAAATGCTTGTTTATTAAAACAAGTTCAGTGCACAAGGAGAAGTGGATGGATATGGGAATGTCCTCTCAGCTTCTGTCAAGACAGACTGTGAGTAGTAAAGGATGATCTTACAACTAAATTGCATGAGCGACAGGTTTTTATATCAGATTTTATATGCCCTCCTGCTCTTCTTTGAGGAAAAAGAAAAATCCTATGGGATTTTGTCCAGACCATGTAAATCAAAATTTCAAAGCTAGGCACTTACTGATAAGTATTTAGATCCATGTCTAGTCAAAAGGTTGTCTCTCTGCATAATATCATCCAGCTAAATGTTAGGTGTCTATGCTCCTTTCTTAATAAATGAAAAGAGCTAGGCTGTTCATGCAAGGCAGGGAAGTCTCTTGAGATAAGTGAGATGAATGCATTACTAATGATGCTTATCTGTCTTTCTGTGAGCTCTCTGGCAGTTAGACGGCTAAACTTAAATGAAGTGAGTATCTTCTATGATGAAAACCTTCTTGAACAAGTATCTAAAAATAAAAGTGATAGATAATGTACTTTCTCAAACTCATGCCAACACATCAGTTTTACTACCGTTTGCCGTTACCATAGTATCCAGGCACTCTAGGAATGCATAAGGTGCTTGAGGATATATAAACACAGAAAAACCAGTCCTAACTACAGGAATTTACACCCTAAATATAAATCAAGATGGCCAAAGAAAACAGATGGGTTAAAAGAAGCAGTGAGAATGTCCTGATCTGTAGTAATAGCAGCCCATCAACACCCCAGTAGTTTTTCAGGCATCATAGCAGAAGAGTTTTACAGAGTGAATTGAAAGTTAGAACTGTAACTTTGAGAATGTTTCAAAGGAGTGCTGCTGAGCGTAGAGAGGCACAGAGACATAAACTTGGAAAGTAAATATGTGGTCACTGTGAACTGATGGTAATTTCAGACCCTAATTTAAAGCAGGGTCACCTAGAGTTGGTTTCCCAGGCCATGACTTCAAGTATCTGAAAGTATAGAAGCTAGTATTTGACCACCCTCACAGACAAAAAGTGTTTTCTTAAGTTCAAGTTGAATTTCTTGTATTTCAGCTTGTCCTGTCCCTGGTCACCACTATAAAGAGCCTGGCTCCTTCCTTGTCTACTTCTTACAGATTTTGGCCCGACAGAATCCAGAGAACTGAACTGAAGTATCAACATAGTGAATTTAGGATGGCATTATCCCCATATCATTCTTACTCCAGTTTTCTTAGTCACCGACTATGTCAGGCATACCCAAATAGATGTTAATTTCATCACTAGGGGGTGCATATGACTTCTGTGTAATATCTTTAAATGGAATTTTCACTAATGTCAAGTACAACTCCTGCTGAAATTGATGAGCAGAACTGAACGTCATGAGTATGGAAAGTAGCAAAGAGTTAATTCGGCAGTTGGTGGATCCTGAGCTAGAAAGAGGACACGTTGGTTCCAGGAGAGAAAAGCAGGCTGCCTGATGTCCTGCCTGCTGCACTCTGGATGAGGAACAGCAAAGGTGGCACCTTCTCTGATGCACTGCAAGTTGCACAGCTGGGAGGGACTGGAGTGCAGGGTGGGATGGGCAAGAGAGAGACAAGGGTGGCAGCAGACACTCTGTGGCAGGAAGGAGATTGGAAGACTCCTGAATAAGCATGGGGCCAGCTTGTTTCCAAGGTCAGGAAGAGGAGACGCAAAGAAAATGGATGGAAGTGAAAGTGGAAAGCCCTTCTATATGCTCCCTTCAAGAAGCAGATGCAGCATTTACATGTAAGGCGCTGAGTGATTTGAGTTCCTTTGCACTGAGCTGTAGTTATTTTGAGCATACCCAGGTGGTGTAAGTACTGACTACGAGAAATGCACAGAAGTTTCATCTGAAGTCTGATGCTCCAACTGATTAAAACTCTTCAAAGTAAAAACTACTTTTTTTCAGCATATGCAACTTGACTAATAAGAAAATGAAAGCTGCTGCAGTTTCTTGACCTCCTGAAATGGCACTGCGTGGGAGCTACACAATACACACACAATGCCAAAAGATGGCAACCTTAGGCTTCCAAAGTAAGTCCCTCTGCTGAACAGCTCTGCAGCTCTAAACTGTTTTCAGTGGTGAACATTAGAAACTTCTGGGTTCTCCCAGACTGGTCTTATTTTTATCCCTCTATCCTATTTTCCATAGTTTTTCTACATATAAAACTGAGTTTATGTGACTCAGTTAAAAAATGGGCAACTTCCCAAATGTATTTGTGTGCTTGAGGGAGGGAGAAGATAGGAAACCTTAGATCTGCTATCTCTGGGCTTCAGTCTTTGACTTCTGTTATTTACAGCAGTGAGGCTCTGCTGTCAATCTGTGCTAAAATGATGTAAATACAAAGGGATGCTGAGGTTTGCTTCTGTGGCACAACGATCAAGCATAGACAGTCCAGGAACTAAATAACTTGAACACTGTAATATATTTGCTGTTATCTCACTGAATTATTTATATTATTTATATTTATTTTGTTACTTTATACACACTGCATGGTCTTATCCCTATCAGTAGTCTTAAAATGGAAATTACTGCTGTTTTGAAACCCTGTATAGCTCTGAGTTGGTACATGTTTTCAACTGAGACATAATAATGCACACAGACTCCTTGTATTCATTCTCATGTTTTCAAAAATCCATCTTTTTTCCTGGTTGTTACTTGTCTTCTGATTTGATCACCATGTCCAATTCCCACTTTGTTGTTGCTGCTGCTGGTTTTGTTCATGTATTTTATTTGTGAGTAGATATGGGCAGAAACTTCACACACCATTTCATTGAAAAATGCTGTTATTTTGGAGTGTTTTGTCAAATTGTAGTTTTGACTGAAATTACAAAAATGGGAAATTCTGATGCTGCAGTTTAAATTCTCTGTTTTGATAACAAATGCTGCTTTTGTATTGTAGGATCTTTATTTGATAGAAAATGAAGCATCTTGCTTGTTTTCAGAAGTCATGTCTGGAGACCATGAGCTTTGAAGTTCCATCTTGGTTTGGCTTAAAAGCAGATTTTGAAATCTCAGCATTTGTGAAGCAGAAATATCTTTCTCCAGGCAGCTCTAGCAACAGGGTCACAATCTGAGCCCAACTCTGTTTTATGCCAAAGCTTTTCACTTCTGTGATCGTTCATCTGTTTCTTCCCTTCTGCCATCCAAGGATAAAAAAATTGTATCTAATTTTGGTTGTTTCAGTTCCTTATGATTTTCCCTTCTTTACTCATGCTGCAACACTGTAGGGAGGTAAGCACTGGCCTAGGTTGTCACTGTCTTTCCTTCATGTGAGCAGCAGGACTAGCAGAGAATGCTGAGGGTGGTTCTGCTGCTTTTTACTTTTGTGCAGAAAGCTTGTGGTTTTAGTGTAGCCCTTGGGGATATTTTCCTCCCGTAATGCTGGTGGCTCAGTCTTTAAATGAGTGCAATGCCCTAGTCATTCGGTATCATTTCATGTTACTCTTTTCTCCTTAGTTATTTTTGCTGTCTGTATAGGTAAGATTTCAAGTCTCTGTCTTGTCTCTATCCAGTCTGTCCTGTGCCGCAGCCCTTAAGTACGTTTATCCCTGTCACACCTGTGGAATAGAGAGCTTATGGTCCATCTGCTTTTATGGAAAACTTAGCTCTGCAGGGGCAGAAATCTAGATGAAATAGAGCGAAAAAATGGAAAATGGGCTACTGCGCATAATTTTCAGGAGATGGGGCCCTGATTACCTCTGTTAAACATTTGGGGTGACATATGTTGCATATGGCGAACGGTGATCCGAAAGAATCAGCATCCTCAACAAGACTCTGAGGCAATTAATGCGAACAGCGATGTCTCTGAAACCCTGCCTCCTTCTGCAGCTTTGGCATTTAGCTCTGTGTGGGCAACAGCACCTCCTTCATTGGCACACCGCCGCTCCTGCTGGTGCAAGCAATGCCTGTTCTCTGAGCTCCAGGCCATGCTTTTATCCTTCATTTTGTGAAGCACCCTGTGCTCACGCTGTAGTTCTGCTGTGTTCTCAGTGCAGGCATTATGTTCCTTGGGCACCTGGGGCCCGGGGTCTCCAGTTAGGATAGGCAAGTGACACAGCTGCCGAGATGCTTCATTTTGTGCTTGCACTGAAGCAGATTTTTAGAAAGCTTTCAGGTTTAACTGGAAAGTGCCCCTTGGAATAAGCAGTTGCAATGGTCTGGTTTGTAGTTTAGGAGCTGCAGTATAACTGTGGAGATATTTAGGGTCTCTGCTGTATGTAGCCTTAAGCTGGCTTCCTTTAACTCCTGTCTGCATAGGGCTGCATGTGAGTGCCCATGCTCTTTCCCTGCTCCTTTGCCTATTCTATTTCTGAATCTGCTGAGAAAAAATATATTAAATCACTTACTAGTCATCATTTCTGTAATACTTTACCTGATAGTCAGGTCTCTGTAATACTGCTCGTCATTATAACAGTTTCTTTCAGTCATCCAGCTTGTTTTAAATCTGCATAACTTCTTTCTACAGAAGATAATTAGCTTTAATTTTAAGCATAGGATTTTTTATGAAGTGCTGTCATTATTGAACCTACTGCTTTTCATTCATCGAGGATCAGAATTTAATAGAGCTCTGCTACCTCCTACAAGATTTTGTATTTAAGTGAACAATTTTTTTTTTTCTCCACACTTCTAAATGTACCCCCTTGGCTCTGTATTTTTCTCTTGAGGATGCTGGGCCACTTGCAACAATTATGCATTAATTCTTGCTTCATTACATTTCTTTATAGTACAGACTCTGCGAAACAGTCTCAGAGTTTCAGGGGAGACTGTAGAGGTACATCTGATGGCAGGATTTTACCCATAAAATGAGATATATGGTCTCTCATCAAACTGTCTATCAGCAGACTAATTTCAGTTATACTCGTTGTTTTACAGTGATTAAGTAAATCTCTGTTCAGAGAAAATACACTTCCTTATTCCGATATCTATTTTTTCCTAAAAATCTCCTGATCTCCTGAAATCATCGTGGCAAAATACTCATTTCTACATCTTTTGCTTGGCAAAAAAAATGAAACTAGCAGATGATTTGCCATCCAAGGCCTGAACAAAATTTCAAAATGACTTAAGATTTCCCCCTGCAGAAACTTAATTCTCTCCATTATTATCGGCATTTCTGCTGCGCACGTAGCCCCTCTCAAACTTCACTGGGGATAGTTTCCATGGGAACCAGAGAATGAGAACTGATGAGTCTCAAAACAGTCAAATAATAATCTTGCTTTTTACCAGTGGGCAAAGATTTACTTCTCCAGTGTTTAATGGAAGGCACTAGAGCTTATTATGTTTTGAAGGAGAGGGAAAAAAAAAGCATCTGTCAGGAAGCCAAGTCTGCATTGTATATCTTTAGGCTTTGTGCTAGCTGTAGTAAAAGGCAAACCAGTACATTCTCCTGTGCTTTTAGATTTCCTGAGTGATGGAAAGGGAAAGTCTCTTCCTCTGGTGAATCCAAGGCAGGGGGAGATGAGGAGAGAGTTGTGGTCACCGAGAGGGGAGCTGAGATGTCTGCTAGAGGTACAGGGGCTCTTCATGAACACAACACTGCTGAGTGATCCTGCAGGAATCTTGGGGACAATGTACAGATGCTGGCTCTGTACATCCAGAAGAGAACCGCCCAGGCTTTTGCACAATGCTGAGTGCACCTTACCATGGCCTGTATAGCCTACAGCCAGGCTGTTCATTGTGGCTGTGGTTCCAGGACAGGGAGCAGACTTCCCCAAGACTGGTGGTAGGCAATGGATAAAGTCGCACTGAATTCCAGGTGAGGTGCTTTGCTAAATTCCCCAATAGTTGACTAGCTAATTTCCAACATCTTCCTGAAGTACTGAGGATACCTGTGAAGATACCTCACAAAGATGAAAACAGAGTTTCACTCTTATGGAGATACCACATGGAAAGGAAGGAGAAATGTCTGCTCTTTTTAAAATCTGTGATACCTGTTATGAAAGATGTTCTCCAAAAGGAAAAGGAATCATAAAACCTGTAGCAAAATTCCAGTTGTTCATCAATGCTTATATATAGACTAGAACTATATTCCTTTCAGAGACCTATTTGACTAATACTATGGAGTTTTAAAGTAACATAATTCAAAACTTGAATTATAAGAGGCTAAATGACAAGATACGTTTTAAAAAAATGTTTTCTCTTAAATTCATTTTTATATTCTTTATCATCTTGTCATTTTCTATTATTTTAGGGCCTAAATACTTAATATGCAGTTTTGTGTAATGATTTGATTTCTATTTCATAAACATAGAGATAAAAAAGAGAAGTACATACATAAAACATTATTACATTGTTTGGAAAAAAAAAGATATTTTTTCCAGATAGTTGAAAACTGTTGTTATTTCTGCTTTGTATATTAGATCAGACATAGATGTGATTAATGATTTAATCCAGTGTTTAAATTAAGAAATCCCATTTCTGTTACCAGTAATTAATATGTTTTAAACACTGAAGGCAATTACTGCATTTGAATTCAAGACAAAAATGTGGTTTTTTTTCTCAGCTTGTGGGTGGAGCTAAAATAAAACGAGTTGTTTGCCTTAAAAAAGTGTAAAGAATTTTTCTGTATTAAAGCAGTATTTTGATGGGCTTATGAGATAAAAACCCAGTTGTATTACTATCAATATCAAGGAATGGCAGATACAGGAGCAGGATGAGGTGGAGATGAAGTGCAGGTAAGGAAGGCGTGGTTCTGTTGAACTGATATGCTGTAACTTTGTGTTGCTTTATTTGGGCACCCTTAGACATACAAAGAGACTTTTCAGGCAAGAAGAGGTACACTTTAAAAGTGCAACATACTGCTAATTTCATTTTTGAATTTTAGTACTGCATTTTATATTTTAACTCATTTCTGTGTTGAATTATTGCTCACAGGTCTGGTGATTGAAGGTTAACACAAATGAAGTGTATTTCCCTATTTTTCATGTCTAACAGAGTTCATTCTCTGAGTCCTAGACTGAAACAAGCGTTTGCCTGGTTCTTACATCTGCTGTGAGCCCCGTAGTAGGTCCAGCTGCCAGAAGCAGAGGATATCAGATTCATGGTGTGGGTTGACCAGCCAACCCGACCGAAATGATGCTGGGAAAGAGGCTGCTCCCCTTTCTGACAGCCTGTAAACAGGCATATGGTTTTTTGTCATGGATGCAGAGTCTGATAAGGAGCACACAGACACTAGTACTGGTAGGCTACTTAGCGCTCTGTTCCCTCCTGTTCTCTGAGCTAGATCCTTTAATTGTTGATCACTGACACTTAGGCATAGTGATTATTGCAGGAGAAACCAAAGACTGTTGCCACTGATGAATCATAATTCTTGAGAACTTTTTTTTTTGTTTTGAAGATATCAGAACTGCTCCTTATCTTGAAGGTCTGGGTGGTGCAGTGAGAAAGAATGGAAAAATAATCATGTAAAACCAGTAGAAATAGTGATGTCTCCTTAACATCTGATAGAAGATAGATAGAGGAACAAAGGACAGGGCTGATACGGCTGACATTTCATCACAGCGTGCCCAAATCAAACAGCACCGTTTCCTGGGAGATCAAACAATGCTGCGTACTTATTAATCACGAGAGGAGCTCTCTGCTGTTCTCACAAGTCCTCTGAAACCTGTCTAACTCAAGTGGGCGAGGATCAGCCCACCCGTGACAAACTGCTGCGGCTTTATCCTACACGCTGTATATTATCAAAAAATGTTATGTCTGCTCTGAACAAAATGTCCAACCGTGACAAATGTGGGCAGTGCTCCAAGAAAGTGATCATGTCTTCATGAGAAGATTGTACTTAAATTCAACCTTGAGGTTGGTTAATTCATTTTAATTAGACTAATCTGCAGACCTGCATGAGACGCTCATTTTTTTTGAGCCCCTGTCACGCTCACTGAAATAAACAGTTTGTGCAGATTAATGTGCTGCTAACTAAGGTGGTCTGAAATCACATCTGAAATGTACACTGTTCTTCTCTAGTAACTGTGGCTATATGCTATGGTGTTCTTTACCTGAGCTCCCACTGTTCATTACAAAAATGTAGAAGCTCTAGGAAACCTTTCGCCAAAGTACCAGGACATCCTTTCCACCCAGAGAGCTTCTATGACAGATGTACTTGTGTAGATCTGGCTTATTAATGCATGGCTTTATCATTCCTAAATTGCACATGATATGCCTCACTGCTGGAATGCATCCTATTTTGATACAGCACAAGTCAGAGTTAACAATGCAGCTCTCTTCATTGCTGAAAATCTTGATAAATACTAATACAGAATTTGCTCTTTTGTAAATGTTGTATCTCAGTGGAAGGCAGAACTATCAGATATGCTTTTTTTTTTTCTTATCCATCCAAGGAAGGGATGTCTTCTCAGTAGGTAAACTAGGATCTAAGAGTCTTTGAAGAATTACAAGCATCAACAAATTTTATAATCACTAACAATCTGTTTTCTATTTGCTTGCTTTCTGATATGACACATGATTGTCGATCATGTTTGTTTTATGGTGTTTTACTATTTGAACTTCCTTACGAGATGAAAAGCTTGCAGGGGCTTTTGAAATGTAGGCTAGGTTAAAGAAAGGGCTGTGCAGAGCCTTGCGAGAGTCACTTATAAGCAGCTTGTTACTGTGACATTCATGTCTGATGTCTGTGGCAAGTTTTTAGCTGCAAGACTTACAGTGGATATTTTAAATAAAAAAAGTCAGATTCCCAGTGAACGGTAGAAATACTAAAGCAGAATTATTGTGATGACACAGCCAGACAGGTCTGTCAGAGAAGTTGCACAATCGATAGGTATACAAAGATTAGGCTTAGTAAGATTATCACAATGGAAAGATAATCAAAACAAATGGAAATGCACACCAATATCATAGGCTTGCAGTAAACTCCACAAGGTGCAACCTCCAGAAAGAGATCCTTTCTCAGTGGCAGGCAGCCCTTAAATGGGATCTAGGAGAGCTGCAGCCAGGTTTCCACCCCTTCCAGTAGCACAGCTGAATTGCCTTCACCTGTACTCACAGGGCTGACTCAGTGCTTGCCTCAGGTGGTCAATCAGAGGTTCAGGCTGTGATCAACAGTTCCCATATAGAAGTCTTGTGTACTTGTTTATGTCATCTTGTATAAAACAATAATATTTCTATTATTTGTTTAGATGATGCAATGAATGTGATATGTTGTCTCTTCCAGTGATGCATGCCAGATATATTTTACTCCACAGAAACCTTTGAGATGGCTATCAGAGAATTTGGCAAGAAGTTGCTTCATGAGCATTAAGGAGTCTTTCACACAAGATGTCCCTACTTGTGGAAGTTATTAAGTCTATGAAACCTTAAAAAGGTAAGTAAGATGAGATAAGAGGGGAAAATGAGTGGTTTTAGTGTCGATACAGTTTGACTCAAACTTTTAAAATGGTGGGAAACAGCTAAAGGATTACAACACATCTATCATCGCTCCAGCTGCTGTTTAAACAGTTTTATTTCTTTTTGCTGTCTTTGGTAGATCTTGTAACATGTATAACATAGCCCAGGATTATTTTAACTACATAAGTATCAAATGATACTGTCTGTGTTTGAAAAAGCACCCAGTCCTCGGCTTACTGTAGCACTTACTGAGTTAAACTTCCTGAAGTCCCTTTTTTTAAGGAAAGAAAGGAGTGTCAGACCAGAAGATCCTAAAGCACTGGACAAAGAATTTTGTCAGGAACAAGGAAAAGCAGCGCCCAAGAAACAAATGTGATTCAGCGTGTTGGAAGCCTCACATTCCCCAGATCTGATCGGTTCCTGATTTCACTGAAATTAAAGGCTGTCTTGCGTTCGGTTTCTGTCACAGGGGAGTTGGGCTCACAGGAGCTGAGCAGATGCCCTGGTGATCCTCTAGTTAAGCTGTTGCAGAATGACTCAAGTGACTGACGTGGCTGAAAGAGGATCTAGTCTAATAAGTGGGGTTGCATTTTTGTCCTTGGTAACATGGCTGTGTCTTACACAGCTGTCTGCTGGAGATTTATACTGTGCTCTTTTCAAATGTTCCCATCAGCACTCCCACTCAGGCACTAGGCAGACTGAGTCCATGGCTGTGTTTTGGGAGACTCGTACCATGGTGTCAGACTTCCTTGACCTCTCAAAACAAAGGCCCAGATAAAAAAGTTCTGCTGGCTTCCCCTTCTTGTCTGCTTTTCCTGCAGTGGCACTATGTACCTAACCCTGTTCTGTGTGCATGAGTAAAGAGAAAAGAACAATACTGAAAGCTTAGCTGCCCCTTGTTTGGGCAGGCAAAGCTGCAGATTCTTTGCTTAAGGGCCATAGAGATTACCTCCTTCTTCTTTTCTCTATATAATCATGGCATCCCAATGTGGGATGTGCAGAGTCTTTCTCATGCTGCTCTATTCTTTGTAGCCTTGTTGTATGTGTTGGGATAAGATGATGCCAGAGGAGGTGCTTAGTAGTTAGTATTCCCTGTGTGTTTACTGTGAGCTGTGGTTTTCTCAGCTAAGAGGTAGCAGGGGAAATGGAGAGTTCCTACACCTAGCTATTGTGAAACAGGTTATACTTTTTTTTTTTTTTTTTTTAAATGGTGATTTTGCCACACTTCGGCATCTGGAAATGGATCTATGGCAGAACTCCTGATTTTGGTCTGTATCCATTTCCATTCAGTAAGTTTGAGAAGAGTGAAAATTTCACTTTGGGTTCTGGTGTGGACTTCACTGAAGTTGTTTATGTGGACTTGACAACTGGAAAGGTTCATTATTCAAACATTTCATTTCCAGAACTATTAAATAAATAAATAGATAAATAAATAAAAGGACCTGAGAATGGGCAAGGTTTATTATTTAAACATCTTTCCAGATCTGTCTGTGACCTATCAACTTATGAACCTGTAACTAGTGCTGCTGTTTTCATTGTCTGCATTGGGTCCTGCATAGGGTGCTGGTCCATCCTCTGCATGTGCCCTGTGAGAGCTGCAGGTGCCATCGGCGTGGCTGCTGCCAGCATGGCCTTTGCAGGGAATGGAGAAAGGAGGGCCCAAGGAGCCTGTTGCTCTGTTGCCTATGGGTGCTGGGGATGTTCCTGCTGTGGTGGGCCAGCTATGAAAGTGGGTACTGTGTGAGATGGAGGAGTAGAAGTGGCAGCCGAAGTCTGGCTGCTGCTTGGTGGCAGCAGAGAGGGAGCCACAGACTGACACGTTTCCCTCTGTGCTGCTGCAACGGGGTCTGGCGGGGTTGAAGCAGTGCCAGCTTGGGTGGCAACATTCTTTGTGCAGTTGTGTGGTGAGGGGCCCGTGGGTACCACTGTCTCTGTCCTTTTCTCCTTTTCTGCTGCTCCTATCTTGCCCAGCAGCTGCTCCCCACATGGGCTGGGCACCTGGGCTGCTCCTCAGGTGGCTCTCGTTCAGGTCTCCCTGCAGGGCAGGGCAGCAATCTCTCCTCTCTTCAGGCAGCTCTTCTCTGGCAGCATTTGAACAGTTGTGGTTCATCTCTCTTGAGCGATATTAAAAGAATAACTAAAAAATGCAAAGGAGAAGAATTAGTTTCTATCCATTTGGGACTGAAAGACAGCAAGATACAGGAAGTAAGACTTCTAATTGCTAAAGACAAATAAGGATATCAAAAGGGTCTATTGGTCAGCTTAATCATAGGGCTTAGGCTGACTAAAACAAGATATGTTGCAAATGTATTGTAATAAATAGATTAATCATATCCTGATTTATTTCTCTTTCATTCCGTGGGTTCAAATTGGGCTATAAGCCAAATCTGTTTAATCCATATTTCTACTATTCAGCAATGCTACCTCTAAAATACCTGGAAACAGATCAGAGCATTTACTATCATCCTCATCTCCTCTACTACTAAGGCTTATTTTATTGGAATCTCCACCCCCCCTCCCAGAATGCTGTGAGTTGGTTAGTTGCTGTGAGCAACTGGCATACCTTCCTGTGAGCAGCAAAAGCTGGAAATTCAGAACTGATGGAGACCTTTTTCAGTTACATTGTATTTTGGTGAATCCATGTAGATTAAGTTGACCAGTGAAGCTTTTCATGTTTTGGTCCAAAAAGCTCTCCGAGGTTCTTTGCTTCACAGTACTTTAACCTTAAACATTTCTTCATCAGTTACAACAGTTTCTGCTATGACTCCACCAAGTCATCTTAAATTGGTCACTTTCAACCATTCACCAGTGTTTCTGTGGAAAGCTGAAAACGCTGGCTTTGCTTTCCTTAGAAGAAATGTGAGATAAACATTTGGCTTCCTCTTCATCAGAAAAAGTAGGCAAATCCTCTTCTTCCTTTATCTATGCTACAGCATAGATAAATTCAAGGAACATCTGGACAGTGCTCTCAACTATATGGTGTGCTTTTTGGGTGGTTCCATGTGGGGTTGGACTTGATTATCCTTGTAGGTCCTTTCCAACTTGGGATGTTCTGTGATTTCAATGACTTGAAAATTAGCACCAGCTCTAATTTCTAATTTCCTACTACTTGCTACTGATTAAATATACAAAATCAGCTTGCAAAAGTGTATATAGTTTTTAAGAAAATATTATCTTCCATTACTTGGTTACTTGTACACTTCAGTTTGCATAGACTGGGCATAAGAGGATCAATTACATCTAAATAAGCTGTGTTAAATAAATACGTATAAAACTGATTCACTTCTCTAAAAGCAGTGAAGAACAACCAGAAGTGCATGAGATGTGAAACAGTTTCCAATTTAAGATGAATCTCTTCTTTTCGAACATTTTAAATCAGTGTAGACTGCAACAATTACTTTAAAAACAGTGTCTGTTCTGTGATGAGTTATTGTCTGCTCTCAGAAGATGGAAAGTTAAGCTGACATTTTCTTAAACCCAAGATTACCACACTAATTTTGAAAACTTAATTCTCTTTTTTTAATATAACTTTTTCTTCTCTTGTTTTCTTCTTCGATTTTGAGCCTTCCATGTGAAACACAGACTGTTCTGTATGTGTCCTCTTTAAAATTTCATGTGCTACAGATGAATCAGTTAGTGAAGAATTCATGACTCATTCCTACAACAAAATGTCATGAACTTCCCCACCTATGCGGCCTGATCATCACACCCCTACTGATTTATCTCCTTGCAAACTTTCTGATTCCTTCTATTAAAAGTTCTTATTTTTCTTTCTGGTGTTCCATCCAGAAGAACCTTATTGATTTTTTGCTGAGAGGAAAGTCATGATAAAACTGAAGATTTCCAGGATTACACTATCTAACTACAAGGATGGCTGGTATGTATCATGGGTCATCATATATTTTGTTGTACAAGGTATTACAGGCAGTGTTAATCTGAGAAATAGTGTGTATCTCTGTAGCTCTATTAATAGCAGATAGTTGGGTATCTGATTTCAAGTTTAGGTTTTGCTTTTTTCTTATTTCATGCTTGTACGCACTAAAAATGAGATGGAGAAGACTGTAAATTAAACAAAGCTCAGTGATTTTCCATTGAGTGCTGAATGAAATGGCTTATATCTACCAGGACAGTCTGGGGGGGGAGGGAAAAGAGTGAAGTTAGGTAAACAGTCAATCTTGTTGATGTGCAAAGTAGCTGAAATCATTCCTTCTTGCAGTAATATGGGTTGAAAGAGCAAAGGTTTAAATGAAAGAAGTCAGAAAAAAAAGTGAAGTCCCCAGCCTTGAGGTTCTGCATCCCTGAAGTTCCTTCTAATGTTGGTTTCCAGGCCATAGATCAGACAGCAGAAGGATAAGCACCGTATATAAATAAAAATGGAGGAAAACAGTGTAAGTTTGTTTATACTGGAGTGGGATTACTTGGAGATCCCGAAGTGACTTGTATGGCCTGTCTTTTGATCATTACAATGTTTCTTTTCTAATGGTTGGTAGTTACATGAGATACACACTCTCCATTGGAGGATGCTTTACTTACCCTTTAACTTATCCAAACCCCAGTTTTATTCAGAGTATTAAAGTCCAATTAGTAATACATCTGTATTTCCTTAATAGAACATCTCCTTTGTCCCCTTCCCTAGTTGAGATCAGAAAGTTGGCCTAAAAAGAAGTAGTTGAGCCTTATGCGGGTGTTGTCCGTATTTCTCCCTTTATAATAGAGATTACTAAAATCAGCTTTCTGACAATCTCGTGCTCTCAGCAGTCTGGGACATTTGCAGACATTTCCCTTTCATGTGATGAGGGTGGTTCAATACAGTCGGAAACACATTCTCCCTTCTGTTTACCCATCCACAGCACTACTGAACATCCCACAATTTTTAAACATAATGAATTAAAGAAAACTCCAGAATAATTTGAGGACTTAATCTTTACCTTGAGAAAAAGTAGAATTTAGTGTCTTGACACAACGTGAATTTTACAGTAGTTAAGACAGCAGAATTTAACATTTTCTCTTTCCAAATAAGGAAATTTTTTTTCCCTGTTGTCACTGTTGTTCTTTTAAATTTCAAACAGCCAGTACACCAGGCCAACCTTGTGTGCCCTGTGTTCTGACTTTGATGGCTTTTGTATTTAGAATTCATAAGAAGTTCCCTGTTAGAAAATGCACCATCCATGATAATGCCATCATCCACTAGCCAGGGAGGAGGGAGAAAATGAAAACCAGAAGAAAACCAAATCCCAAACTCCCTTGCTTGGTGCAGGCTCCTTCCAGCAATCCACAAATCTTACTTGGGCATCTGGCAGGGACTTGGCAGCTTTGCAGTTGTGGGAAGTGAAAAATGATCACAGTTAAACTTATGCCTAGCATTCTCTTCTTTTTTACAAAGACAGTAAAATAGTAATGTGGTACCCATTCGCAGGCATGCGTCTATGTATAGCATTAGATGGCCTCTCCACAGCACTTACAAACTGCTCAGAACACCATGCATGGGCGAATTGTAGTGCTGGTGAATTTAGGTTTGATCTCAACTCCCACTCTCTCAGCTGTTTCTGAAGACTTGGTGCACTGTGTTCTTTTTCCTTCTCTGAATGGCACTGCGCATTACTAGTAGTAGCACCATGAGCTACTACTACCTCATACTACATTGAATATCCACTTACTTTTTTTCTTACAGTGAAATAAATAAGAGGAATTTTGTTACCTGGTCAGATTAGCCTCTTCAATACCTCTAAATGGTCTTGTATTGCAGTTGTGCAAAGCTGACTGAACAGACTCTCAAACACGGATCAGGAAAGTGCTCTTCTCCCCTCCCTCTTTCCCATCTCAAGAGTTTGCTTGTTGTTTGTGGGGTTTTACCCTTATCCCATCCTCTGAGTAATCTAGGAGGAGCACTGCCATACAAGCTAATCATTCCCTCATTGCGTGAGCCTCCTCTTTCCATGTACTCTTTAAAAACTTCTTTCCCTGTTCCAAGTATGAGGCAAGCTGGAGCTTTTCAAGTGCTAAGCAAAACTGTCTACCTACAGCACAATTTTTTTTCAGACTGATTGGATGGTATGGCTATGAAACAACCCTACCCAAGTGCAGACGGTGATTTCATACCTGGTGGGAAAGGCAGACACTGGAGAGAATACAGTGTTCTAGACATAACTGCTACAGAGATATAAACGCATGAACTTCATTCCTTATTTTTATCAAAAATCTGTGTGATGTCAAGACACTTAACAGCTAGCACACCATGCACTCCAGTATTTTGTTGTTCATGTGCATTCCTTGCTGGCCTTGCTTGCACTGTCATAGTTAAGGCATTGGCATAAATCTGGAAGCCGCCTGTGTGAAGGCATGGAAACATGCAGCTTCTTTATCTCCTTATTTCAGAGATAACATCCCTCATCTAATCCATTTTATTCTTTATCTGAAAACTAACACCACTGCATCCTAAATAGATAAATAAAAAGGGTCAAGTTCTTTTGCTTCCCATGCACTCCTTAAAACTTCTTTCATCTCAAATTTGAAAGATTGTTGGCAGTTTTGTACCCATCTGTATTTCCTTCTGCCTCCACCTCCTCACCATCTATTCCTAAGCAGTATTTTCTCTTTCACATGGCACAGCATGACAACTAATACAGACTGCTGGATTGAGGGTCTATACAGGATGAAACCCCTGTAATCTCGCTTTCCTTCTTTTGCCATTCAGTCCAGCCATCCTTCTCTCTTCCTCACAGCCATTTTTCTTAGATGACAACATAGATGTCTGAAGATGTTGGTCATTTGCAGATGTATTACTTATAGCAATGCCAACACAATGCAGAGGAAAACAAAACTCATGTGAACTCATTATAAAGAATTTCACCATAACTCTTCAAATTACACAGAACTCTTCCTAAAACAGTTAAAATTCAGCATTTTATTTTGTCTTGGTTCTGTATTTTCTCCTATCCACTTGCATAAGGCTTTTGATTTTGGTATATTTGCTATTTTGCATTCTTTTTGACGTATCTACTTCTGCTGCCCAGGCAGTAGCACATACAGTTGTTTAACCCAGGCCCTGCTAGCAGCTTATTTACTGAGTTACTGTGCTAACATGCACATGACTTTGTGATTGAATGGATGAAAGGGTCACCCTTGATGGGGCCACTTGTCCTGACTGCCATTCAGTAGATGTTTCCTGGAGCTCTTCCATCTCTATGTCATTTTGCATTAAAGTTACAGATGACTGGATCAGATATAATTTGTTTTGTGAAAAAACATAGGTGGGTTGAGTGTAAATGTACCTTTCTCTGGTAGCAAGAGTCCTTTTACTCTCTGTTTTAGACAGTCGTGTTTCCTCCTGCAGAACCAAGGGCCCACAGCCTATTCTGATGCTTGCTGATATAAATCATGGCATTTCAAATTCCTCTAGAGATGGGTAGGTTCTCTTCAAGAATCTGCATTGTTGTTACTGCAATATATATTGCATCAAATTAACCACAGCTAACCCAACTTTCTAGAATGCAGCCCTTTTCTTGCTGAGAAGGGAGTGGAACTGCTCAAGATAATACGTTTTCGTTTCCTGCTATTTTGTGCTCCTGCTAGCTTTTACCTACTCGGCATGTCAATGTGAATTTTTATTAAAGAAACAAAATCACTTTATCATTGGTCTCACTTTTGGATTTATCCACTGACTCAACAGTGAAATGACAGGAGGTTCCCCTTGTCTCATGAAGCACTTGTATAGTTACACAACAGATGGAACAAAACTCATCAGAGCAGGATAGGAGCTATACTGCGCATTCATGTATTGGAACACATCTGCTACAAGCAAGGTGTTGCCCCTTCCATCCGATAGGGAGAGCTAAAGAGCTGCTCTCCACTTGCTATCAGGCACGTAAAGTCGTCTTCTTCCTTTCTTCTGTGGCTTGGTGATTTTGCTTGTGCAAAGTTGGCTATCTCATATTTTTGTCTCGGGCAATGGCCTGGGTCCTTGACAGCCTTGTCTCCTCGGATTAATGCAAATGTTTGTTCTGTTTAATACAAATATTGAAATCATCCTATTCCTCTATAATTCTGTACTGATTAATTTAAGTGTTCTTACCTTTTATTAAAGATGTCATTGTAAAATTGTAGGCTTTGATTTGTTAATTTTTATGTTTTTTGTTTCAACATGATGGCAGTGTTGTCATTTTTCCTTCTACTGGTGTGATGAACTGGTCACCCTTTTGACTTTTTCTCTCTTTACACAAGTGCTTTAGTGTTAGCCCAGAGCCATTCCTTGCAGGTGACTCTAACGGATGACTTTTATTTCTTTGCAATTTCTTTACAGTGATCGCAGCACGGCAGTACTGTTTCTCTGCTTTGGTGAAGAGCACAGTATTTCCAAAATAACTGAATATTTTTAAGCTGGCTTACCTTTGTACAGACATATAGAATATGGTAATTAATTCTGAATGCTCTTATGCAGTAAATTAAACTGATTACCAAGCGTAGCTTTGAGATTTTACTGAGGTTATATTAGCAAGACAGTACCTGTAAGGTAGGAAGAAATGTAATCCAAGTATGTGGCAGGTAGCTGAGGTATGGGAAATATATAATTTGTTGTATGTTCTACAAGTGACAGATTACTGTTTCCAGCTAAGCAGCTGTTTTTCTCATCTGTATTTAATAACTAACTTTTTGAAGGAAAAATGAGAAATAAATTCCGTTAGTGCAACCATAACAAGTCCAGGCCAATGTTACCATGACGGCTTGAGACAGGCTATTACAATGTAAGCCCACATACAGGCATGTTCATCAGTTTCAGGGTGGAGCAACCCAAACAAATATTTTTCCAGCTTGCCAATGGATTGCATACTGTGAGGCAGCACTTTTGGGCTGTATTTTGTGAACTCCAGCCCGTGTTTCTCCTTCCGAAAAGTCACGTGCTGCTATTTCCAGAATGGGAGAAGGCTCCAAAGTATCACTAGATTTGAATGGTCAGTCAAATGGAAAAAGTCAAAGCCCAGATTGCTGTCTTTTCTTCATCATGGCACAAAACATTGTCTGATTAGGCATGGTAATGATTACTGAACTCAGTAATCAGATTTGCTTGTGAGTTATTTAGCTTCAAGTACACTTGTAAGCTTTGAGCATCAGGTACACTTCCCCTGTTCTTCCAATTTTCCTCTGGCTCACTGAGTGCTCTTTCTTTGAGAATAATAGGGGATATTTACTGTACAAGAAATACTTTGAAATAATGCTTTTTTTTTTTTGCAGACTGGCAAACCCCATTATTCCAGATTCTGACTGCCAAGAAAAACAATTCTTTTCACCAGGAAAAGGATTTTATTATAATAAGGAAGTATTTCCATTAAGAAATAATAATGTAATTATTATAAGGCTCCCCGTGGTCTGTAGATTGGGGAGGGGCTTTTTATTAGGGCATATAGCAACAGGATGAGGGGAAACAGTTTTAAACTGGAAGAGGATAGACTTAGACTAGGTATGAGGAAGACGTCCTTTACTGTGAGGGTGCTGAGACACTGGAACAGGTTGCCCAGTGAGGCTGGGCAGTGGATGCCCCCTCCCTGGAAGCATACAAGGCCAGACTGGATGGGGCTGTGAGCAACTTGGTCTGCAGGGAGGTGTCCCTGCCTATAGCAGGGGGCTGGAAGTAGGTGACCGTTCTATGATTCTACAATTCTATGATTCCATGATTTCTGTTTCAGATTAATCAATTGCGACCTATATGAAAAATATAACTATCTTACATAGAATCACAGAATTGCAGAATGGTTTGGGTTGAAAGGAATCTTAAAGATCACCAAGTTCCCTGCCATGGACAGAGACTAGATCCATGGACTTCCCCCTAGATCAGGTTGCCCAAAACCCCATGCAACCTGGCCCTGAACAGTTTTACAACATAAAAAGGAACATGTCAGATGCAGTCTTTGCTTTCCTGGCTTGGAACACTTCAAGAAAGCAGTAACTTTTCCAGCTTCAGATTTTTCTTGCTGATGTTGCTACGGAGAAAGAAAGATCTCTCTACCATGTATGTGATGGTACATATCATGTACATATGATACTTGTCTGATGCATCGAAGTATGTGACAGATACCATTCACCATATCAAAATAAGTATTTTACTCACTTTGTTTTCTGTAATGTTTCCTAATATTCCTCCACCTGAAGAGTCTAACACGTGCTATGAGTTTTGCCATGGTCTGACTCTTAGTAAACTCCTAGCAGACCAAACATTTAGTCGTTTCCTTTCCTGTGAGATCATGTATTTTCTGCAATTAGCTGGCATCATTCTAGCCAGGATGGTAACTAATAGTTGTCTGTGTTGTGCTAAAAATTCAGAGCTCAGTTTTGAGGGCTTGTGTTAAGAGACTGCACAAAACACAGCTCTTTTGACCACTCTGAAGATTTCTAGCTTTTAGAGTTGACAAAATGACTATTTCAACTGTTGTATGAAGAATGTAATTCATGTCCTTCCTTTTCAAAAATTTCATCTTGTTTCCTACTCATAACTGCATTTCTTAAATGATTTCAAAGTGGAATGTTGAAGAGTGGATGCGATAGTCTTCTCACTGCAACTGGAAAAAGGCTAATCTGAGTTTAGGCCCTCACAGTGCTGATACTTGCCTTTCTGATAAGCTCCTAGAACAGGCAGTTTTCTGCCTGTTTTACCAGAGGTTTCCTTCAGCTCCTTCAGGATAAAGTTCTTTATTTTGACACTTTCAAATAGTTTGACATATTCTATGTAAGAACAGCACAGGCTTCTTCAGTTGTCAAATTAGCAATATTAACAAACTTCCATTTTTAAATATAAATGGTTTCCTATAGAAGAAATTACATTTTATGCAATCACTCCTTGCAGACGCTTGAAACTTAAAGATTATCAACTCCTTATCACTGTTACCATTAGTCTGGTGCTACTCTGGTACAGATGAGATTTCTTTATCACCCAAAATGTACATGTATTTTGTTAAAACAAGATTATTTTTTTTTTTGGTGAAACTAGATTATGTAATAAGAATTCATGGCCGAGCATTATAAAATAGATCTCAATCCTATTTATGCCGTGATACATAAGGGAGTAAATCTGCCCCTGCAGTGGTGTGGTGGGATGGCAGGTAGGAGCTTTTTCAGTTAGACATCAGAATAGGTAAATAGTTTCCATTTATTTGTTTGCATGCAGATATTATCTTCCAGGACTTTAAAGACATTGACAGGAGACTGTCATGACTGTCTTCTTTTGCCTGAGCCCTGTGGAAAAACTTACATTGCTGCTCTGCTGCATGAATAAATTGCTGTCTTGGAACCCGAGTAGTTTAGAAGCACCAAAGTGGCTCAAAACAACCCATTGGTGACTTCTCAATTGTCATGTTTATATGTAAATACAGCATATGCCCACAATGATCAAAAAATCAATTATTTTCAGTCTTAGAAGATTGCACAAAACTGGTTTAAAGAGCTACTGAGTACAATTTAAAGTGGTGCTGTCAGGTCAAACAACTGGGCTTTCTCTTCCTTCCATGTGTGCAAATTCAGATCATTTGAATGGAGTTGTTACTCTAGAGGAAGTTAACATGACAGTCATATTCAGCTGTAAGCTAATACTAAACTGGGAAGCAGAGTAATTCTGTAACTTCATTGAAGTTACCCTGGATTTATACTAACATAAAAGGAGGACCTTGGTCTCTTATCTTCCCTGAAGTATGCTGTATGCATTTTAGTGTTCCTTAGGAATTAACAGAAATGTCAGTCATGCTTTAGCAGAGCCTAAAAATACCTCCTAGTTAAATGGATTGTCACAGAAATGCTCAAAATGTGAAAGGATGTGTAACTCTAATATTTATACTTAGGTGAATGGCCATGCTCATACATGAAGTCTCTCTTGAAAAGTGATGCCCTAATCAAAAGAAAACAGTTTATCACCCTTGAGACTACAGCGCTGTTCTTTAACGTAGACACTATGTAAACAAGGAAGAGATTGAAAAACATTTTGTAAGCAATTTCTAAATTTGAATATCTTTGATGTCAGTGGCCAAAATCAGATCCCCTAAATAAGGTCCAAACTGTCTGACTGAGCAGACAATACTGCCAGTAGTTTCTGCAAACCTTGGCTGTTGTGCTATTGATGGAATGTAGAATTACTTAAGTAATTTTGCATTAGATTCTATGTCTGCTTGAACTGCTCTGCTGTCTACACACAACATATATAAGATGAACAGAAATGTAATATATAATCTTTCTTATTGTGGAAAGCTTCAGATCTCGTGTGTTTCTTCTGTCAGCATCAACAAGTCCTCTTGTTTCCCTTTTTTTTATTGCAGTATAATGCAAAGAGAGTCTGTACTATTCTGACATGGATCTTGATATGGATATGGATCTTTCCTTGAGTACATTGTTTAAAATCTTTGTTAGAAGTGGAGAAATTTCAAAAATTTCTATTAGAAAAAATGATTTGAATAGTATTTATGGATCTGGATATGTAGATATTGTAGTGGGTAACTTTAAATACTTAGGTGCTAATTGGTTTCTTAAATAGCTTCAATTGTTCCATCATTTGTTTAGAGTTTGCTCTTGTCCCTTTTTTGCTTATGAATGTGAATTATCAGACTCCATTCCAGAGATGCATCTAGCACGTGCTGAGCTCTTAAACCACTCTGCATGTAGCATGCAAAGGAAAATAAAATGATTGAATTGCTGTTCTATGACCCTATTCTTCTCCAAGGAGACTTGAAGTTCTCTCCATGGGCCTGATGTTCTGTATTCAGAAGCCAGGCAGTTCTCTTTTGTGTTCTTACAGTCCTATTGCTACAAAACCACATTAATAGGAGGGTCCTGCCTCAGATCAGCCATGCTACGGGTGGTTAGGGTTTCATAGGGACTGCCCTTGTGCCTGTAGGACTGTGGAACTACTGTGCAGCATGATGCACTGGGGCAGGCTTCTAGCCTTATGGCCTTCCACACATGTATTTATTGAAAGGCTCTTACTGAAGCTCTATTTTAAGAGACCTGATGCTTTCCTGCCACTATTAATGTACTGGATAGTTAAAATTTATTGAGTTTTTTTGAGCTGCATACCCTTGGTGCAAATGAGGTTGACCAGATCCATACCAGTGAACACTTAGAACTGAGTATAACACCTATGTTTTGATCTCATTAATGCTATAAATCAAGTTTGTAAAGTTCTATGTCTAACATGTTTATTTTCTGTCACCTATACCTTGATTCTCTATGCCTGATAATTATTTTTCAAATTTTGCAATGCACATCTCCAGGCCATTTTCTGGATATTTTTGCAATTAGTTTAATGAACTTTGCTTAGGAGTTGCTATGTGATTAACAGCCATTACCTTCTTGGATTGCCAATTTTGCAAATCACCTAGAGATTTCATGTCCTGCAATTAAGATTTCTTATTCACAGCATAAAGCCAAAACACTGTTTGTGGCAAATTCACACAGCTAATGAACAATGTGAGGGAGCTGGTTGTGGTTGTATGAAGAGAGATCCTGGCAAATCGGAGGGCTGGGCCATCATCACATGAAGTTGAACAAGAGCAGTGCTGGATTCTGGGATGGGGCAGCCCTGGATAAGTGCACAGACTGGGGGACAAAGGGCAGGAAATCAGCCCTGCAGATGCATAAGTTCTGGCTGACAGCAAGTTAAACATGAGCCAGCAGTGTGCCCCGCATCCCAAAGGGACAATCAGACCCTGGGGGGCACCAGGCCCAGTATTTCCACCAGGTGAGGTGGCTCTGCTGTGTGGCCTCTCCTCCAGCACTGGGTGCAGTTTGGGTGCCACAGTATAGGAAGAACATAAAACTATTAGAGAGGATCCAAAGGAGGGCTATGATGACAATGAGGGGACATGAGGATGTATGGGGAGCAGCTGAGGTCCTTGGGTTTGCTGAGCCCAGAGCAGAGGAGCTGAGGGGAGCCCTCGTGGCGACTGCAGCTGCTCACAGGGAGTGGAGGGGCAGCGCTGAGCTCTGCTCTGTGACAGCGACAGGGCCCCAGGGAACGGCATGGAGCTGTGTCAGGGGAGGGGCAGCTGGGGGTCAGGGAAAGGGTCTGCACCAGAAAGTGGTGGGCATGGAACGGGCTGCACAGGGTCACAACTCCAAGCTGTCAGAGTTCAAGGAGCGTTTGGACAGCGCTCTCAGCCATAGGGTTTCGTTTTGGGTGGTGCTGTGTGGAGCCAGGAGTTGGACTTAGTGATCTTGGCGGGTCCCTTCCAA